TGAAGGCACCAGGCAAACCTCACATAATCAGATAGATTGTTCTGCTATGAAAGAAAAAAATTACACAAAAAGAAAATAGGGGGGAAGAAAAAAAAGAAAAAGTAGAAAAGAGAAAAATAGATGGAAAAAAGAAAGTTTAACAACACATCTTATCAACGACATACAGTCTTTTAGGAAATAGAAACCGTCATTGACATTATTTTAAACATATAATTCCAGTAAGGCATCCTTTTATCTTCACCTTGTTGATTTCTCCTCACTACTCTTACTTGCTTATCAGTGCCTATTCTCTGGTTTTATTCCTTGATGTGTTTAATGACTTCCTTGTACCACTATGCAGTTCCTAATTTCTCATATCTTAAAATTTCTGCGTCCATTCTTGTTCTGCAGGAACCCATTCTCTTACCTCTGTGGAATTTAGTCTATGCTCAACCAAGAAACATACTCCATCGTGTAATTTTTAAAAACATCCCATTCTTTTTAAATTTTATTTCCCGAATGATTTCTTATTGAGTCTGTTAGTGTCGCTAGTTCAAGATATTCATATAGCTTTAGATGCCATTCTTCTTTTATTGGTATTACATTACTCTTCCAATATTTTGCTACAAGAATCCTGGTGGCTGTAGTGGAATAAAGAAAAACTCTTTTATTAACCTTTGAAGAAGAGGAGAAGAAGAGTTTGGACTTGATATCCCACCTTTCACTCCCCTTAAGGAGTCTCAAAGCAGCTAACATTCTCCTATCCCAGGGGTCTGCAACCTTTAAGACAAAAAGAGCCACTTGGACCCATTTCCGAAGAAGAAAAAACTGGGAGCTGCAAAACTCGTCATTATAAAAATAATTTTTTTGACACTTTTTTATTATTTCTTTGTTTGACCTCTCAGAATTACTCCTCTTCATAGAAATAAATGTTAAATTAACAAGTTACCTTTTTGTGTATGTGTGTTCTTCACTCCCCTTCAAAACAGTGACCAGCGTACATGCCCCCTTTCAATGCAGTGACCAGCGTACATGCCCCTTACAATGTAGCGGGCGGGCGGGCGGGCAGGTGACATCAGGACGGTGCGTGACTAACGCACGCACCGCCCCCATGCGACGTCACAGCCAGTACAGCGCCCGCCACAGTGGGGAGTGTCGGGGCGCACAAAGCGCCTCCTCCCCTCGCTAGTATCCGCCCCGGAGCCGCGGCAAAGGTGTAAAAGAGCCACATGCGGCTCCAAAGCTGCGGGTTGCAGACCCCTGTCCTATCCCTTCCTCCCCCACAACAAACACTCTGTGAGGTGAGTAAGGCTGAGAGACTTCAGAGAAGTGTGACTAGCCCAAGGTCACCCAGCAGCTGCATGTGGAGGAGCGGGGAAGCGAACGCTGTTCACCAGATTACGAGTTCACCGCTCATAACTACTACACCATGCTGGCTCTCCTTTGGGAAGTTTGTTGTGAAAATACCCAATAAAAATAATTCTGGTGTTTTGTTTTGTTTTGGAAATGTGGATTTTAACATTTCCTTCAATTCATCATATATCATGTCCCAAAATTATTTAGTGCTTTTCAGCCAATAATGCCTCCTGAGCATTATTTACCCCACCAAATCATAACTTGTCTACTCAGACTAGAAGCCAATTAAACCAATCAAAACTCCCACTCCAAGAACAGGACTCCAAGTGGTATGGAGTAAGTGAAAATGAAGAGTTCCAAGGTCAATCAAGCAGTCCCCCCAAAAAATTCCCAAATAGGCAACTAGCAAAGCTTCTACTGCTTAGGGCAAGAAGGAGAGTGCTGATAAGAAGTAATAAAAGTGCTGTGTTTGCAGAAGAAGCAGCTTATAGAGTCTGGAATCTTTCCCAACTCGTTTGGCCTGATGCCCTACTTGGGCCTTCCCTATTTTCTCCCCAGGGCAAAACCATTTTGAGTCTTCTTCCTATGGGAGCTGAGGGTGGAAGCAGTACTGTCTCGCTCATTCCTGGGGTTTTTTTTTATAGTTTAGATTTTCCATTCCCTTTCTTATTGTTGTTGCTGTTCCTTTTAAAATAATTCTTTACAAATTTTTGATGGTGGAGGTATGGATTTGTAGGTAAAGGATTTTTAAACCTGGGTCACGTCTATCATCTTCATTTGTAGCTTTTGTTCTGGCAAGCCCATTTTTTTTACTGTACTCTCATTTTACACATCATTAGCTCCCAACTCCCTCTCCAGCCCCTCTCCACCAGTCCCTATCCGCTGGCCCCAAATTTTCTCCTGTGGTCACTGACTATATTGATTCATTTATTATTACTCATACAAGTGATCCTGTATGTTCTTATTTAGTCGTTTAGTAGTGTCTAACTCTTTGTGACCCCATGGACCAGAGCACGCCAGGCACTCCTGTCTTCCACTGCCTCCCACAGTTTGGTCAAACTCATGCTGGTAGCTTCGAGAACACTGTCCAACCATTTCACCCTCTGTCGTCCCCTTCTCCTTGTGCCCTCACAATCTTTCCCAACATCAGGGTCTTTTCCAGGAAGTCTTCTCTTCTCATGAGGTGGCAAAAGTATTGGAGCCTCAGCTTCAGGATCTGTCCTTCCAGTGAGCGCTCAGGGCTGATTTCCTTAAGAATGGATAGGTTTGATCTTCTTGCAGTCCATGGGACTCTCGAGTCTCCTCCAGCACCATAATTCAAAAGCATCAATTCTTCTGCGATCAGACTTCTTTATGGTCCAGCTCTCACTTCCATACATCACCGATCCAGCGCCGAGGGCCTTCTGGCGGTTCCCTCATTGCAAGAAGTAAGGTTACAGGGAACCAGACAGAGGGCCTTCTCGGTAGTGGCGCCCACCCTGTGGAACACCCTCCCTTCAGATGTGAAGGAAATAAGTAGCTATCCTATCTTTAAAAGACATCTGAAGGCAGCCCTATTCCGCGAAGTTTTTAATATTTAATGCTGTATTGTTTTTAATACTTGATTGGGAGCTGCCCAGAGTAGCTGGGGAAACTCAGCCAGATGGGCGGGGTATAATAAATTATTATTATTATTATTATTATTATTATTATTATTATTATTATTATTCCGGAGGACTGCGGAGAGAATTTGCTCTGGGCGGCTTCCATCAAATATGAAAGATACACTAAAATTTCACATATTAAAAACTTCCCTGAACAGGGCTGCCTTCAGATGTCTTCTGAATGTCAGGTAGATGTTTATCGCTTTGACATCTGATGGGAGGGCGTTCCACATGGCGGGCGCCACTACCGAGAAGGCCCTCTGCCTTGTTCCCTGTAACTTGGCCTCTCGCAGTGAGGGATCCGCCAGAAGGCCCTCGGAGCTGGACCTCAGTGTCTGGTCAGAACGATGGGGGAGGAGACGCTCCTTCAGATATACTGAACCGAGGCCGTTTAGGGCTTTAAAGGTCAGCACCAACACTTTGAATTGTGCTCGGAAACGTACTGGGAGCCAATGTAGGTCTTTCAAGACCGGTGTTATATGGTCTCGGCGGCCGCTCCCAGTCACCAGTCTAGCTGCCGCATTCTGGTTTAGTTGTAGTTTCCGGGTCACCTTCAAAGGTAGCCCCACGTAGAGCGCATTGCAGTAGTCCAAGCGGGAGATAACCAGAGCATGCACCACTCTGGCGAGACAGTCTGCAGGCAGATAGGGTCTCAGCCTATGTACCAGATGGAGCTGGTAAACAGCTGCCCTGGATACAGATTTGACTTGTGCCTCCATGGACAGCTGTGAGTCCAAAATGACTCCCAGGCTGCGCACCTGGTCCTTCAGGGGCACAGTTACCCCATTCAGGACCAGGGAATCCTCCACACCTGCCCGCCTCCTGTCCCCCAAAAACAGTACTTCTGTCTTGTCAGGATTCAACCTCAATCTGTTAGCCGTCATCCATCCTCCAACCGCTTCCAGACACTCGCACAGGACCTTCACCGCCTTCACTGGTTCTGATTTAAAAGAGAGGTAGAGCTGTGTATCATCCGCATACTGATGAACACCCAGCCCAAACCTCCTGATGATCTCTCCCAGTGGCTGCATGTAAATGTTGAAAAGCATGGGGGAGAGGACAGAACCCTGAGGCACCCCAAAAGTGAGAGCCCAGGGATCTGAACACTCATCCCCCACCACCACTTTCTGAACACGACCCAGGAGGAAGGAGCGGAACCACTGTATGACAGTGCCCCCAGCTCCCAGCCCCTCAAAACGGTCCAGAAGGATGTTATGGTCGATGGTATCAAATGCCGCTGAGAGATCCAGCAGAACTAGGAAACAGCTCTCACCCTTTGTCCCTAGCCCGCCGGAGATCATCAACCAGTGCGACCAAGGCAGTTTCAGTCCCATGATGAGGCCTGAATCCCGACTGGAAGGGATCCAAATGGTCCGCTTCTTCCAGGCGTGCCTGGAGTTGTTCAGCAACCACTCGCTCAATCACCTTGCCCAAGAATGGAAGATTTGAGACTGGGCGATAATTGGCCATCGTGGCCGCATCTAAAGATGGTTTTTTAAGAAGCGGTTTAATAACCGCCTCTTTCAGCGGGTCTGGGAAGGCTCCCTCATGGAGGGAAGCATTCACCATCCCACGAAGCCCATCGCCCAGTCCTTCCCGGCTAGCTTTTATAAGCCAGGATGGGCAAGGATCCAGGAGACAGGTGGTTGGCTTCACTCGTCCAAGCAGCCTGTCCACATCCTCGGAGGTAATAAAGCGAGATGAGCGCCGCAACCCCAGAGTCGGTCACGACTGGACCTAATGGTTAGGGGTCCTTTTACCCTTTACCTATCATTCCTTTTCCAGGCTAAACATACCCAGACTCTTCAACTGTTCCTCATCAGGCTTGGTTTCTTGACCCTTGTTCATCTTGGTTGCCCTCCTCTGAACACATTTCAGCTTCTCAATCTCCTTCTTATTGAACTTATTTGAGAGTGTAAACAAGCAGGTGGGTAGGGATAATCAGAGAGACAATGTACACTTCAAGTAAGTCTATCAGCAACTATTAGTTATGCTAGGAAACATATACTTTAAATACAGAATTTATTTGAATTTCTGCATCAGTTTAAGCACGTCAGGGTATAGCTGCTTTGGAGCATCGAGACCGAAGATATAATCCAGATGCTGCCAATCAGGGATATTCTTGTAAAAAACTAAATGAGGGATTCGAGGGATTAAGAGTTGAATATCCTTTACATCTTCCATAATGTCCTGTCCTCCACTCCACAAAGCTGTTGGCACTTCCATGCATTCAATTTTATAAAATGGGGGTGTGGTCTGGGGGTGAAAAATAAAACAGAAAGAGGTTTCAGTGATGACACTGTCATATTTTCGTACCTTTCTGACATTTCCTCATTCTGAACCTTCAGTGTTCTGGGATGTATGGCATCGGAAAAACTATTATTCTTCCCTTTATGCATTTACCCCTCTTTAGTACTTGCATGTTTTTCCTGGGCCAGTAATACATAGCAAAACCTCCTGTGTTAAAATGTTAGTTACATGAAGTACATTTTTGCAGTTCCATTAATTTGGTAGTTGAAGATTAATTACTCTAATGTATAATATTATGCTCCGGATCATGTGAATCAAGATCAGAAAGGAATGTGTGGAGTGACGATCCCATAAACATGTAATAGCAAAAATGGATATCAATGCAGGAATTTAATTTACATATTTCATATTTGATCAACATTTACTTAGTGACAGTTAATAATATCCTACAATAGTTTGTTACAACCTGAGGAAGAACATTACGAAATTTTACTGACTCCTTTATTTAGGGAAATTCTAGCATTTTAATGTTGAGAAGAGAAAATGATTTCTCTAATGTGCAGAGGGCACCATGCTAAGGCTGCCAATCAGATTCACACAATAATTTATACATGCTAAATTCAACAAAAGTTCTCATGTTAAGCTGACCATCTCTCCTCCCCAGTGGGAAAAACAACTTCTTAACAAATGGTACAAGAATCTCTGTTGATTCCCACAGATAAGGACTATTTAGTGAACACATCACAGTTAAAATGATGATGCCGACAAGATGAAAAGAATTCTAAAGACATTAATGAGAATAACCATCATGGGGGGTATAGAATGAAAAAGTAGAGTACAGTGGTACCTCGGGTTAAGTACTTAATCTGTTCTGGAGGTCCGTACTTAACCTGAAACTGTTCTTAACCTGAAGCACCACTTTAGCTAATGGGGCCTCCTGCTGCCGCTGAACCTCCAGAGCCCGATTTCTGTTCTTATCCTGAAGCAAAGTTCTTAACCTGAAGCACTATTTCTGGCTTAGTGGAGTGTGTAACCTGAAGCGTATGTAACTCAAGGTACCATGTACTTATGCATGTGAACACATGTTGCAATATTTAAAATGAAAGAACTGATTACTCAAGAAGAAATATGATGGGGTCCTGCTGATTTTTTTAAGAAAGTAGATGGACATCTAGTAAGGAAATTAAAAGAAGCAAAGGTCAGGATCCAGACTGGAATGCATATTTATTATTTGTCTGTTTGCTTCCATAGAAATAAAACCATTGGATCGTATCCAGGCCTGCAGATCTGTTTGTGCTATAGACCTCTGCATGCACTACTGAACTTCTGCCAAACAGCACACTCTCAAAATCTGTGCCAAGGATTGAGAGAGGCCCCAGAGCAGAGGTAGGGGATCCCTAATTATGCAAGTGGAACTCTGTGTGCACAGTGTTGGATACAACCCATAATTATGTGTACTTCTTTGATGTTCTCTCAGTCTTTAAGAGTCCCTGAAGGAAGTGTGCAAGAATTCAAACATTACAGCATTTTTTAAATGCGGAATTTTAAAACAGAACCCAAACTCATCCTTTTCCTTACCATATTGTATACAACTTTGTTCCTGCATCCATAGTCAAAAAATCTAAATTTATGCGTCCTAGTGACCTAGAAGAAGGACAAGAATTATGTAGAGTTTGAAAATTTTAATTTTGAAACATAGTCATGTGCTAATACAAATTCAGGTGATGTGAATTGCTAGAATTCCTCCTCATGCAATATTTATGAAACCTCTTGCTTAAAATAGTGGAGCCCCTTAAAAATGTGTGTAAAAATATTTAATTTATTTAAGGAATTAATATATAATATTTTATATCACTAAATATACATGATCCCTAAGTGGTTTACATAGAAAGATAGATAAAGATAGATGATAGATGATAGATAGATAGATAGATAGATAGATAGATAGATAGATGATAGATAGATGATAGATAGATGATAGATAGATAGATATAGATAGATAGATGATAGATAGATAGATGATAGATAGATAGATAGATAGATAGATGATAGATATAGATAGATGATAGATGATAGATAGATAGATAGATAGATAGATAGATAGATAGATAGATAGATGATAGATAGATAGATAGATGATAGATAGATGATAGATAGATAGATAGATAGATAGATAGATAGATAGATATAGATAGATAGATAGATAGATAGATAGATAGATAGATGATAGATAGATAGATGATAGATAGATGATAGATAGATAGATAGATAGATAGATAGATAGATAGAAAGATAGAGATAGATAGATAGATAGATAGATGATAGAAATATTTATCATAAACTAAAACAATAAAACAATTAACATATATAAATAAAAGCCAAACTATTTTACTATTTTTGTAACTGTTGTTTCCACCGGGAAAGTGGCATGTGGAGCATACTCCAGAGGGTGAATATCACTTCCTTGATGTCCCCGGGCACCGGTAAGGAGAATGATAGAGCTCCAGTCCGCGCTGCTACTGCAGAGATAGCTGGCATGTTGGTCCGTCCATCGGTCAGTCGGTCGGGGCAACACAGAATGTTTAGGGGTACACGTACCCCTGCTCCCCCCCCCGAAAAAAGCACTGGGTGTAATATATGTATAACTAAGGACTCCACTAACCAACCTAGCATATCCTCCAAAATTCCTCAGATGAAAATAGAGGCATTTCTCACTCTCCCCCAAGTGACCCTCCTTGACACCCCATTTTTTTGGCCCTTCCCCGCCACCGCAGAGCATTTCTTACCAGGAGAAAAATGAGTGCCAGCACTGCACCGATGGGATGCAGTACACATGCCCTCCACTGCCCTGGGAAAATCCCTTCATTCTAATTTTATTTTATTTTATTCTTTGGTAAATTCACAAAAAGAAAAATATACACTAAAATATAAGTTTTCGAAAGGGGCGAGGTTAGATGTAGATGGGGGGATGAACCCTTTTTATAAAATAAACAAATAAAGACTCCTTGTGCTCTGCTCCAAGCCCTGCCCTCTGCCTGCCCCTCAGAGCAGGCACTTCACACAAGGCTGGGCCGCCACGGTGGCAGCCCCTCTTCTTCTTCTCTGCTCTCCAGCAGCTGTCCATGGTAGGAGGCTGGCTGTAGCGACCGTAGAGAGACATTGGGATGCTCCCTCTCAGCCGCAGACACTGCCACTCGGTACAACCACTTGCTCATCCACCTCCCCAAGTTTGGTGGTGGCAGCACTGGTGGGGGAATGAGGGACATCCCAGGATGAAATCTGAAGCAGGAATAGCTTTTGCAATTCGGGGACTGTCCCTGGAAAATTGGGACATTTGGAAGGTATGCCCTGCCCACTTGATTATTAATAAACACATACTCTAAATGGCACATTCAGTCCAAATACCAGACTTTGGACTAAGGCTTTGGCACTGCTCTGAAGACAGTTATCAAAATCTACCTGGCTCCAGTGGTCCACTGCTTTGACAGAAGAAAAATCAGGAAAGATTCCAACATACACATCTGCTCGACTCTGGAAAAACAAGATGTCCTGCCTTAAGTTGTATGAAAACAGCAGACACATTCCACAGTCTCTCTTATTGTGCTCTCTTCCAATGATGCTTTTGTGTAGCAACCTCCACCTGGGTTTTTTCATTCCTAATTGTCTTCCCTGACTGGTTAGGGGCAACACTGTATCATGAACCAGCACAATTTGTTGTTGTTGTTTAGTCATTTAGTCGTGTCCGACTCTTCATGACCCAGTGCTTAATATGATACCCATATGCTTTCCGTTCTGATCTTATCCTCTGCAAATAACATCTTGCATAGCTTATTTTATGTTGCAGAGCACCATCCTATAAATATTCAATAGCAACTTTAAACATACAGAGAAATCTCATCTAAATGGAGGGCGCTCTGCAACTTGGGATACACTATAGAGAAGGCTCACCCAATGGGCCACACTCATCAGCAAAACTTCAAGCTGACCTCCCCCCTGCAGACTTCAGGGCCCAGGTTCTTTATTAGAATTCAATATGCAAAATATAACATGAAAACAATTGTTTAGTGTGTGCTGGGCTGCTATAGTGCTGCTGCTGCTGCTCCATAATGTATTCACGTGTAGAAGTTCACTTCTCTTTTTCTTTTGTTATATCTTTTGTCAAAAGATATAAAGAGAAAGCACCTACCACATTATAGTTTTTCTCGTTAAATCCCACCCCAAGGGAAAGGAACCGGAGGCACCATTTGTCTATAACTGGGTAGCTGCATATCTTGGCAGTGAGGGCTTTCAATTCCTTGCTAAGAAGACAGTATTCTTTATTGCCCCATATAAGCTGAAATACAAAAATGCACAAATAATTCTGAATCTGCTTAGAAGCATGTCTAATTACCTTTAGCTCTTTATCACAGTCATAACACAAAAATGGATGAGTGTTTGGAGATCCCTTCTTTTATCCAGCTCACTTACAAATTGGACAAAGGGGAATCACTCTACACTCAAAACTGTTCAGAGTCCACTGTAATTAAATCATATAAGAAATACTTACTCTTCTGAGTCCATCAGGAATGACCAAAAGTTTATAGAAAAGTCCTTTGCTGTTTACCAATGTGTAGCCAGGAGCAAATGACAGGTAGAGACTGATTTTCGGAACAAGCTGAGGAATGATGGAAAAGGTAATAAAACCTGCAAAAAACAACAACCCCAAAGTATCCCATAAATGGAAGCCGTAAGTATTTGGGACAGTGCATTGGGGTGGGAAACAATATTTGCATTGTTCTTCTGCCCCTATGAATCCTTAACAGTGCACTCCTTTCCTGGCTACTCAGAAGTTCCTGGCTACTACAGAATGCAGTGGGGCTTACACTAGGGATTAACCAATTGGTCAATTTCAGATTCTCTCTCTTCCTAATTTTTCCAGTCCAAAATTCAGTTTTCCATACTTCCACACCAGTTTGTGATTCTGTTCCACAAATAGATGCTTTTAAACAGCAGAGCAACCCTAACTGGCTTTCACCTTAAGCAATTATCTCTTTCTAGTGTGTAAGTGGCTCTTTATGCTGTCCCTGAGTTGCAAACCATTTGCAATAAAGCATACATGCAGGATTCAACCACAGAAGGGTTCATCTTAGTTTCAGTGGATGAGTCTTCCTAGAGACCCAGTACTGCATATTCAGCTTTTAGTCCCAACGCAATTAACAAAGGCTACAAGGATGAAATACGTTTCAATAACTTGATCATAACTTACCTAGTGTCCCACCTTGGGAATGGCCAATATAATATAATTTTTCTTGCCTAGTTTTCATTAGGATGAAGTCTATAGTTGCTGGAATATCGTATATTGCTATTTCATGAAAACTGAAATGCAGACATACAAAATACAGTTGTTGTATTGCCCACCTATGCTTAGATACAGAAACAGAAGATCCTGGAAGAACCTCTTTCTCGCTTAGACAAACAACTGCCACAGTGTAAAACAAGAATGGGGAAACCTGTAGACCTTCCATGTTACTCTTCCCCTTCCTTTTTAAGGTAAACATCTAACAGCATACTACTAACCATGTCAATTCAAAGTAAGTTCAGTGGGGCTTAATCTTAAGTAACTGGGGTTATATGTGTAATAATATACAGATATCGTATGCATATACATGCCAGATTTCCTAAAGTAATCAGTGCATAAACACATACAACAATACATACAACTTAGGTATTAATATTTATAAAATTATGCATAGAAAAACAGTACCACTCATAGGGCTTGGCTGTTTTATTTGTATTGTGTATACAATTATATTGCATGTAATTCTGTAACATGGGAGTTGTGTAGAAATTGCTAAGGGGTTAACAGTACAGAGTTATGCAGAGTCATATATATTGCTACAAGACCTCAAGCATCTTCTGCCATGCTTCAAAGCCCTGTCCAAGAGTGAAGTGCTTTCCCTACAAGATAAGATTGCTATAGATGTTTGTCAGGGACAGCATTCAGGAAAAGCGTACTTCTTGTCTAAGCTCCAAAATGCCCTTTTAACATACCTGAAGTTCCAAAAGTCTTCTTGGTCAGTTGACAAGGTCTTGTGTCTTCTAGACCAGCTGCTCCCTCTAGTATTTATTATCCAAACATCATAGCCAGCATCTGCTAGGAAGAATCCCAGGCTATTGTTGGGAAGATTGGCAATCCAGCACCTACCTTCAGCAAGCAAGCCATGTACTAGTAAAACAACGGGCTTAGGCCCTGGAAAAGAAAGCAAAGAAATATAATCTGGGGGTGAGCTCCCTGCCTTATACTGGAGAATCAAACCTGCCCACTGTGATGCTTTGTAGTGATGACTCCAGCAGGATACACCTGAACTTCCAGAGTTACTGAACAAATGTCACTTTTTCTAGGCTAGACATGGTTACTTGCTCCTGTAATTCTTTTGCACCACCTAACATTTCACAGTTAAAGCCATGGTTTTCCCAGTAGTGATGTATGGAAGTGAGAGCTGGACCATCAAGAAGGCTGATTGCCGAAGAATTGATGCTTTTGAATTATGGTGCTGGAGGAGACTCTTGAGAGTCCCATGGACTGCAAGAAGATCGAACGTATCCATTCTTAAGGAAATCAGCCCTGAGTGCTCACTGGAAGGACAGATCGTGAAGTTGAGGCTCCAATACTTTGGCCACCTCATGAGAAAAGAAGACTCCCTGGAAAAGACCCTGATGTTGGGAAAGATGGAGGGCACAAGGAGAAGGGGACGACAGAGGACAAGATGGTTGGACAGTGTTCTTGAAGCTACAAACATGAGCCTGACCAAACTGCGGGAGGCAGTGGAAGACAGGAGTGCCTGGCGTGTTCTGGCCCATGGGGTCACGAAGAGTCGGAAACGACTAAACAACAACAACATTTCACAGATAAAAAGAGGGATGTTGTCATATACCAAGGACCACTATTCCCCCTCACAATCCTACAACCTCTGCCCCACCTATCACATTAGACACTGTCTTTCAGAGATTACTCAGCTATAGCCTGGCTTCAGAATCAGGATATGTTAGTAAACATTTGTTTTGATCTTAAGCATGTCTAAATGAATGAATGTTTATAGCTCAATCCCAAGCGCATCCACTCAGAAAGTGAATATCGTGTAATATTTAAACAGGAAGCGTCTCATTTCTCTTTCATTCCAGGATAAGTATATGCGGCTATAATCAATCTTAAGATGGGATAGCCAACCTGGTGCTCTCCAGATGTTTTGGCTTCCATCTCCATTGTGCCCCAGTCAGCATAGCCAATGGTCAGAGATGATGGGAGTTGTAATCCACAGCAGAGTGTGATTTTGACTACCCCCATTTTATTCAGCATGACAAAGGAGTGAGCATTGTTGATCCAGAAGGCCATACAATAAAATAAATGAAACAGTTTTTAACAAGGTAAGGTTTGAGAAGACAGGAATTCTCCCTAGTGAACAGGGACAGTTTAGCTTATTTATTTATTAATTATAGCTTTTGCTGGGACCTTCCCACCTCCACCCCCAAAATGAAACTCAAACAACTTACAAAAAAGAAAGTTAAGGTATTATATGAATCCAAATACACAGCTGTTACATTCCAAAATTACCTGTCTTGCCAGAACTGTTCATTCCGCAAGGAATTCTGTTTGCTTGTAAGTAATAGCCATCCTCTGTCAGAATTTCATGCTCTTCACTGGGGTATCCCCAGTGTTGAATGACTTCATTCTGTAGATTGGGAGGAAAAGAAATCATGACCCCATCCCACACCCCAAGGCATAGCCAAGATAAATAACTTTATGAGCCAGCCCCTAAGCCACAGGCACCATTCACATGTGGGTGGGTGGACTGCAACTTGCATAATTCTTGCCCAGGGACCAGGCTGACTGAGGTTGTTGAGTCCAGCATCTGCAGAACCAACAGGTTTCCCACCCCTGCTTTTAGCTTTCTTAAAACAAGAACATAAAAGTGAACAAATCTAAAAAAAAAAAAACACTTTCTAATTTGATTCAAGAAGTTAATTTTGAGAACTGTGTTATCTTCACTGAACTAGAAACTGCCTAGTTCAAGTCTCACCTTAATCACAGGTCACTAGGTAGCTTTCAGCATCAGGTTTTTGCATCAGCAGTTAGCAGGTAGTAATACTAACACACTTCACAGGGTTGCAGTAAGGGTGGTTTCTTGAAATAATTGAAATAGCACATTTGAAAGGCTTTAAAGATTCAAAAGCACTGAAGGGTTACCAGAGGGAAAGAACATGTTCTCTGCTGCCACAGAGGGCAGAATTAGACCTACAGGCTTCAGCTGTTGTTGCTGTTGTTTTCAATTTAGTACCCATCAGGTCTCAAAATGGCTTACAGTATTCAAGAACAGAAGCAATTACCAAGAAGGGGAGTGTCATCTCCCTTGCTGGTGATCTTTAAGCAGGGGATGAGCTATAGCTCTGAATTTGTTGCATCAAGCAGGAGGTTTGGATGAGATTGGATTATCTCAATGGTCCCTTCCAACTCTATGGTGCTATGGTTCTATCTAATTTAGCGTTGCCATATTTCAAGAAGTACAAATCCAGGTAAAAAACAAAATCCCAGACATTTCCTATTAAATTTTTAAAAATCCCAGATGCCAGTTTCACAGGTGCCCTAATGTAATTGCTAAATATTGCCAACAGTCTCAACAGTGCTATTTTTCTAGAGAAAGAAGTGCTGGACCTCGCCATGAGTGGCAATGGTGCCCAGCTGAGGTGCAGGAACTGAATTCCGGTGAGTTCCTGCTGGAAAAAAGCTCTGATCCTCAACATTTCGAGATTATAGACTTGTTTCCTTCCATATAGGTGTACTTCAGAAGTTCAGCAGAGCAGGGGTTAGCTTTGGCAAAGTTCAGAGAGGTGCTCATGGGAACACTTTCATGTATTCAATGAATACAGGAGCAGATTCTGAGAAATACGCTAGCGACCTTCCTCCACCATCGCCCTGGTAGGCCCACATTCAGCTCTTGTGAGAAAGGAGTCCCTACGGGTGGCACTGTGGGTTAAACCACAGAGCCTAGGACTTGCCGATCAGAAGGTCGGCGGTTCCCATTCATCAGTCCCTGCTCCTGCCAACCTAGCAGTTTGAAAGCATGTCAAAGTGCAAGTAGATAAATAGGTACTGCTCTGGCAGGAAGGTAAACGGTGTTTCTGTGCGCTACTCTGGTTCACCAGAAGTGGCTTAGTCATGCTGGCCACATGACCCGGAAGCTGTACGCCGACTCCCTTGGCCAATAAAGCGAGATGAGCGCTGTAACCCCAGAGTCGGCCAAGACTGGACCTAATGGTCAGGGGTCCCTTTACCCTTTACCTTTAACAGCAGCACAAGAGGGCAAGTGTAGAAAGAGTAAGCACCAAAAAGCTCAAAGCTAAAGCCCAGTTCACACATTAGAGCTGTCAAAGAGGCTGGCTTTAATTCCATCTAACAAAGGTATAGGCAAGGGGGTACCCTCCAATTCTATTTTATTTTTGAACTACAACCCCCATCTTCTCTTATCAGTAGCCATGCCAGCTAGAACTGATGGGAATTGGGATCCATTTTGGCTATCTTTGTCCTAACAGTATCAATCAACATTTGGCCAATATTTTTGTGCACAGTGGCCCAGAATGCCGATTGCCTCTGGTTTTCTCCATGCTGGTGCAAAACAGTCAAAGAAGAATCATTCTGTGCTACTTTAAGGCAAATTGTTTAATTTGTGTGGTAAACCAGCACAGAGAAATACATAAGATGTATGCCAAGTTTTTCATAATGGACTCATGTTTGCCTTCAGGTAATAATCTCCTGTAAACACAGGCAGGCTCAAAGTCAACATTTACATTAAGCTAGGCTCTCTGAACTTTCAGCAGGGCATAAATTAGTCTGACTCAGTCATTCACCGAACCAGAAAAGATGTTTTGTGTCAAACACTTGCAAATGAATAATCCGTTTCTTTGGGATAACCCACACAGGATCTGAAATTCTGCAGGAAATGCATTTGAGTAAGCAACTTACGATAGTCATAAATTCTTGAGGATTCAAATGTCTCCCACTTATAACTTCTTCTGCAGCGGAAGCCTCTTGGATTAAGCAGGCCACTACCAGAATGAGCCACATTGTAGGCCTGGGTAAAGCAATACCAGTAGTTTCAAAGAAATACAATATCAATGTATTGCAATATTCTTAAAGGTTTTTACATTTGCATTTGACATATGGAGACCTTATGAGACAGCAGATGTACAGTGGCAATTGGTATTTGGCAATATTTGATAGATGCCAGAGTAGAATGGCCGCACTCTACATCAAACGGAGGACGCCCTTTGCATGCCTGAGCGCAGCACCCCCGATCCTACATGTCTCCTGGCAGAGCACTCCTGGACCACCTCCCCAAGTCATGAACCTTGAGTTTCCAGCAAACCTCAGTTTAAATAACCAATCGTGACTGGGGAGGTGGAGCCAGGGGAGCAGACCAAGTAAGGGTAGGGTTTACTCTTTAAGCATATAAGGAGGTGGGGCCTACCTAGGAGTTCTCAGTCAGCTCCAGAGTTTCACCTGCCCTACCCTCACTTTGTTTAGGCCTTTTATTGCAGGTTAACCTTTTCTTTACAGGTATGCAGACACTGCTACGGTCTTGCAATGGTTTCTGTTAAAGGAATTTTCACACCATTGGCAGGTTTCACCTTCCCCATAGCAAAACGTCACAACTTTGGTGGTTTCAGGCCTTGAGCAGAACCCTTTAGTCTTTCTTCCCTCAATGGGGGGCATGAAGTGGTGACACACACACCCCTGTGGGTTCAAAACCAGGGTTCCCCATTAAATGGGCTGTGTTGAGGGGAGTCACTGGCAATATGCTGAAAGGTTGTCAGTGCACTCCCCTGTGTTGCAGTGAAATGGGGGGCGGGCTCTCTGCTTAAACATACGTCATTCAGAGCTATCCCAATCCCCAGATAGATTGGTTAACCCTGATGTGCCCCAGATGTGCCTGGGGACTGGGAGGGATAAATGCCCAATGCCTAAGCCAAGGTCTTCCCACATCTAAAAGTTTAATAAAGTTGTAGCCAGTTTTAATCCCATAACATGTGTCATGTGTCATTATTCCCCCTGGGTGTCACCTGGGGTTGGGGGGTCTCTGCCTGGGTACGCAATGTAATAAAGTGATTTTTTTTTCCAGCTTGTCAAAAATCAAATTTTGGTATCAACACTTGGTGTGAGACAAAATTCACATTCCGAAATTTGGAAACGTTAGTTACAGCTCTAGAATTAACCAACTACTGCCAAAATTATCTGTGTGCCACTGATTCACCATCACTTCACCAATTAATAAGAGGACTGCACATTCCTGAGAACGACAGTGAGGAGAAAACATAGTACCCAAAATCATGATGCAAACTGCATCTCACTTCAATGGGATGTGAGAAAAATCTTGCCTAGTACATGACACCAAAAAAACAACAACACTTTATTTTATTTCTATTTTTTTAGTAGAATTCCCTAGGCAGTGACCAATCTCCTGCCACTTCTCATGTCCAATAGGATTTTCTTTGTTGGTGCCAATTGCCAAAAGGGAGGTGGAGGGTAATTTCCACCAAGATTTTGACTGGGAAGGCTTCAAACCCCCTCCCAAGATGCTGTGGTGTCAAATGACAACCCACTTCCTGCTTTCAAAACTTTTAAAACCATGTTACAATTGTTTCTCATTTAATTAACGCCATGTCTAGCTAGGTCCACTGTTGTTCCACATGGTGGAAACACCATAATCTGAAATCTCTTAATGTTGCTTGGCAACTAATAGAAACATTAGAATAAAGGCAAATATGGGGTGAATGATAGATATTGAATTTCATCCAGAACACAAATATGTACCCCACAATTTATAAAATAACATAATGGGCCTGAGCCAATTCACTGTACAAATTCTTGCAGGACTAAATCCAATTATCATATTTGCACTTCACAATAGGACATTCATTCAAGTACTCCAATTGTGGGACTTCATCTGTTCCCCAAAAAAATATTTCTAGAGATCCTATCATTTTGCAGTGTAACATACAACACAGGCATAAGGAATTATTTTAGCGATTGCATTGTATTGCTTTTCAGTGTTTTTATGTGGCTGTACATTGCCCTTATATTTTGTGAGAGGCTGGTATAGCAATGCTCTTTAAAGATTACTTAATTTTATTTATAAAAATACAAAATTGCATGAGAATTTCCCCACATTCTTTTCTGGAAGCCCAAACAACGCCCTGGAAGCCCAAACAATGTATTTCATGCTGCTTTCTTTAAATCAGTCTTTAAAAAAGTACATGCAGTTTTTTGTACTCAAAAGTAAGCCCTACTGGGTTCAATGGGACTTACAGGTGAGTACAGGTTAGCAAGCAAAAAGATTCAATGCTACATACACTTACCTAGAAGCAAGCTCCACTGAACTCAAGGGAGCTTACTTCTATGTAGAGACATGCATAAGATTCCACTGTAAATCTCACAGTGTGAAGTGCTTTAATTCTGCAAATTTCATTGGGGCTTAAACATGTATGACATTATATTAAGCATTATTCGTTCATTGAGATTCGACATCTACAGGATTGAGCCTTATGATAATTAGCAATCAGTTATATTTTCATTAGAGTACAATTTGAAAAATGGCAAGATAAAGAATATATCACCATACTCAAATTAAGAAGATCAGTGTTTTGTTTTGTTTTGTTTTTTAAAAATAGCCCTTTGCTTACCTGCCGTTGGTACTCAGATGGAGCTGGGACCTTGAATAAATGTTGCAAAAGATCTAGAATGTAACAAACTGCAAGCAAGCAAGAAGTCATTGTAGCAGTGCAGCATTTAATTATACAACAGGTGTGGTGGCATTAAAAATGATGAAATGGAAGCAGCGCTTATTCATTAGACCAGATTTGCTTGGAACATAATAGCTGACTAAAGAGGCACAGCAAATCTATTTGAATTTCTGGGTGCTATGTTGTGACTTAAGGACTTAGAGGCAAATTAGTCTTGTCGGCAACTACCGTATTTTTTGCTCTATAAGACTCACTTTTTCCCTACTAAAAAGTAAGGGGAAATGTGTGTGCGTCTTGTGGAGCGAATGCAGGCTGCGCAGCTATCACAGAAGCCAGAACAGCTGCTTTCACTGCGCAGCAATCCCTCTTGCTGTTCTGGCTTCTGAGATTCAGAATATATTTTTTTTCTTGTTTTCCTCCTCCAAAAACTATGTGCATCTTGTGGTCTGGTGTGTCTTATAGAGCGCAAAATACGGTAAATACAATTTTAATTTAAAAAAATATCACTATGGCTGTAATCTACCCAATGTTGGGCAATTTCCCTTCTGTATTCCCCATCCCTCATTGTTCAGGAGGGCAGCCAGAAGTTTATGTTTCCTTTGTCAATTTTTTATTAAATTTTTATATCTTTACATATAAATTCCAGATTCCAAATGTGTTATACATTTCTCCTCTGCAGAAGTTTTTTGAGAGGAGTACAGGTGACTTTACCAGGCAGGTGGGGAACAAATTTCCTAACATTATCTTGCAATTCAAGCCCACATTTGCAGTATATTTGTAAGGATTTGAGCTTAAGAACAGCTTGAAGATGATCCAGGCCTTTTTTTCAGCTGGAACTAACCGGAACTCAGTTTTGTCACCTTTCAGGTCCCACGGGAGACTTTGCAAGTCCCCAGAGTCTGGGTAGATGAATGTGAGCCACATGCAGTTCTAGGTATTTTCAGAAAAGTTGTGTGGATATTCTACCAACAAGCCCCTCACCTAGCTTAAGTTCAAAGTTCTCTCCAATGAAAATGAATGGAGGAAAATGTTGGTGTTGTCATTTTTGCTTAGGTTTTTTGTGAGTGTTGTGAATTTTTGAAACGAAACACTTGGGGTCAACACCGCCCTGGATATAACTTCACATTGTCCCCAAATGAAAAAATGTGCTCCCTAATCTCAGACACAGCAGAGGTTAATTACAGTGGTGCCCCGCAAGACAAATGCCTCGCAAGACGGAAAACCCGCAAGACGAAAGGGTTTTCCGTTTGCGAGTTGCTTCGCAAGACGAATTTCCCTATGAGCTTGCTTCGCAAGAAGAAAGCCCACAAGGAAATCTCCGGGGACCTCTTTTAAATGCTGGCGGTGGGGAGCAAAGCCTTTCCCCCCCTCCGGCCTTCAGAAGAGGTCCAGGAAGGCCGGCGGGGGCCGAAAGGCTTTGCTCCCCACCGCCAGCATTTTAAAAGCTGTCCGGGATAGCAGGGAAGCGCTTCCCGCTATCGCGGACGGCTTTTGAAGGCAGGCGGGGGGAGCAAAGACTTTCGCCCCCCGCCGGCCTTCAGAAGAGGTCCTGGACCTCTTCTGAAGGCCGGCGGGGGGCAGAAAGAGGTCCAGGAAGGCCGGCGGGGGCCGAAAGGCTTTGCTCCCCACCGCCAGCATTTTAAAAGCAGTCCGGGATAGCAGGGAAGCGCTTCCCGCTATCGCGGACGGCTTTTGAAGGCAGGCGGGGGGGAGCAAAGACTTTCGCCCCCCGCCCGCCTTCAGAAGAGGTCCTGGACCTCTTCTGAAGGCGGGCGGGGGGCGAAAGTCTTTGCTCCCCCCTGCCTGCCTTCCCGGGACAGCGGAGAAACGCTCTCCGCTCTCCCGGGAAGGCAGGCAGGGGGAGCAAAGACTTTCGCCCCCCGCCCGCCTTCAGAAGAGGTCCAGGACCTCTTCTGAAGGCTGACGGGGGGCAAAAGTCTTTGTCCCCCTGCCTGCCTTCCCAGGGGCTTTTAAATCGCCCCGGACAGCGGAGAAGTCCTCCGCTGTCCCGGGCGATTTTAAAATGCCGCCCACCAGCATTTTAAGATCGCCCTGGACAATGGAGAAGTCCTCCGCTGTCCCGGGGTTTTTTAAAATGCTGGGGGTGGGAAGGAAAGCCCTTGTCCCGTGCCCCCCCCAGCCTTCAGAAGAGGTCGGGGGACAGACTGTCCCCGGACCTGGTCTGAAGGCGGTTTCCATAGGAACGCATTAATTGATTTTCAATGCATTCCTATGGGAAACCGTGCTTCGCAAGACGAAAAACTCGCAAGAAGAAAAAACTTGCGGAACGAATTAATTTCGTCTTGCGAGGCACCACTGTATGATTAGTCTAGTACGATGTACTCTACAGGAGTAGAGATTATCACTGCATATTTTCAGGCCTGAAACATGCATTGCAAATGTGTTTTGATGTGCTCTACCTCAGATGAAACCATCATTTTTTGTGCGTTGGTTGGAAAACCTGTTCCTTTACTTTAGAATATAGAAATGCTTTGGATGATAAAAAGTTAAATTATTGTGTGTGTTTTTTGAGACAGGAAGACTGCATTCAGCAGGAAGCAAGTGTCCTTCAAAAGTGTTTTGTTTACTTTTTGGCAATGGATCTGGGTGCAAAAAAGCTTCACATCTCCATTTTGGCAGAAACAGAACACAATGTATTCATTATTCACACTTTAGAATGTTCAGGGAGATGTACTTGCATTTTTATGTACACAAATGCAACTTAATTTTGACTATGTACTTAAGCTTACTGACAAAACGATAAACCTCAGTGACTCGTTGCAAATGTCTAACTAGACATTTTATCACCTATATTTGTCACACTATTATATATTTAAATCAAAAACTAGTTTTGGGTGTTTGAAACAAACACCTGTTTTTTCCAGGAAATTCAATAGGATATAATGTATCACTCTACATAGGGTACCTTCCTGATGCAATAAATAAATAAAACCTCCTTGCTGATCTTACATTAATACCTAGTGGTGCTCATACCTGGGCCTGGGTCTAAAAAACTTCTTTTCATTTCAGTCCTTTTTGGAGCTGATTTTCATTGCGATCCTTTCTGGCTACCTTGGAGAAGGGCTGTCTAGGAGGTTTGCAAGCAAGACTATTTAAAAATCAAAATGAGGTGACATATAATTAAACTTTATTTCTGAAGATTGTGGGGATCTCAGAATCCCACCTTGATTTCACCATTAATAGAGCAATAATAACCAAACAGTTTCCCAGCTACTTCTCCATCAGGTCAAGTATTTCTGGGTACATCAGCTGAAAAGCATCGAGGCCCCAAATGAAATCCCAGTGGTTCCACTTAGGGAACTCTGTGTCATGAATGAGATTAGTAATTCGAGGCCGCAATTCTGCAATTTCCTTGGGCTGCGAAACCCAGTCCTGTCCTCCACTCCACATTGCTGTTGGGATGGTGATCTCTTCAATTCTGTACAAGGGAGGAGTCGTCTAGGAAGAGACAGATAGATTGAATATCACCTAGATACATGCACACATCTGCAGCTTAAAAAAATAATCTGTGAAATTGCACACAACAAACTTTCACCAAAGTAAACCAAGTGATTTTAAATTGGGTTCTTTTGTTGGATTATCAATAAATTGTGAAAATCAGAAGTAATTTGAGGGAAGTGGGGACTGCTACTTGAACGAGGATGGTGTTGTGTGGATGGTGCACAAAAAATGCACACAAGGGATTTATCAAATCCAATTTAAACTGCCCTTTTGTACACACCCTCACTTTTAATCCCCTTTGCAGGCAACACAAAAATCCAGCAAATCCCTACCTGGTTGTATATATCTATGTTCTTTGAGCCACAGTCAAAATATCTGAATTGACCTGCCATAGCTGTCTAGAAAACAAAAGAGAACAATAGATAGGTGAGTATACAACCCGCCAACGAAATCGAACAACAAGCAAAACTAACCCAAGAGGAAGATGTTAGGAGAGGGCACTCACTGAGAGTATCTTTCACTTTCATTTCATTTAACATTTAATTTGTATACCCCCTTTTTATTTTACTATACCCAAGGCAGTTTACAAGCTGAAGAAACAAAGAATGTACACCTTATAACAATCTAATCCAACACAAAAATGTGATAATAAAACATAACTTTAAAATAAGCAACTTATATAAAATAAAGTAATATTCAACAATCCATTAGAATAGCATATAAAAATTAAACAAAAATCCACCCTTAACAATTACAATAAATAATTTCTAAACTATCATCAGTAAAAACAACAGCAAGCCACATTGCATAAAATAATACAATACGAACTGAGAAACAGAGACTGGAGGGTGGGGCAAGGCAGGTGGAAGGAGGCCTTGCCTGATGAAGTCTCTCCCCTCACAGTTCTTCCTCTAAGCACAGCTCCCTTATGAGGACTCCTAGGGCTGGAAGGTGGAGCAAGGCAGGTAGAACGATGGTGATTGCACTGGCAGTTGAATCGTGCTGGAACTCTAGCGATGGAGAGCAACTTATGCTGCCCATGAGGGCAGCAGGCTAGCTTAAGGGTCACAAGACAGCCCACACAGCTCTCTCCTCCAGCACTTTGCTTGATTCTTGCACACTTCCCACTCAAACAAATGCCGTGGGCCAGGCTAGTAGCTGCCTCTTTTCCTGCTCACTCAGCCAAGGACCTTTCTTAATGGTGTTCTCTTTGTTGCGTTGGGAGAAAGTAAATAGGCAAGACTTCCATACAGCCCAGTTTAGCAATAAGCAAGCATTACTGCTACTGGGGCACAGGCTCAGGAGAGGGGCACTGGCTTAAACATGAGGTGGGCTTCTGCTGCTGCTCCTCCAGCACCTACCACCTAAGTTGACAGCTTCACTTTACCTCATGGTAAGGCCATTTAGGCAGTTTCTGGGTTACAATAGCTTGCTGGTTCGGGTTTTGCCACTGCTAAATTGGGGACTCAGCTATACAGCTGCAAATATAACATTAAAAGTTTGTTTTAAGTGCATTATACAAATTTGTCACTAAATGACGATGGTGAGCTTATGTAAAATTCAATACATTTTTCAAAATGTTTTTCACAGCGTTTTTTTATATGTGTCATTTTACACTGGAAACTCAGCTACAGTATATTCTGGCTCCCTTCTATTCAAACAATATCTAAGTTTTTATAAGGCAGACAACATTCAACAGAGAGAGAATGAGAGAGCGAAGGGAGATCTTAGTATCTCTACCTGGCCCCAGTGGATCATATTTTTCACAGACGTATAATCTGGGAATCGTGATACATATACATCAGTCCGACTCTGTAAGGGAATGGTAAATTTAGAAGTCATTTCACTTAACCAAAACTCATTGTACTGGACTGTTGGCAGAGGACAAAAGCAGATATATGTTATTACATGTTTTTCTGAAGTGCAAAACTGATGCTGAGGAAACCCTGACATGCAGTTCATAGCAACTGGTACATCATGAATGAGTTGTGTGAACCAGCTGGGTGCCTGAACTCCACAGTTCTAGGATTTTATGATTCAGATAACTGTGAACAACCCTTCAAATGAACAGCCCTTATGTGCTACAAGGAGTTGGCTCATGGCTATCTGGCCTATTTCCCCACCCAGGACACACCTGTTGTCTGTGCCCACCACCACCCACCTGCCCATTCAGTGACATGTCTAGAGCTCCCTGATGTTATATGGAGTCTTGATTCGGCCAGGGTCTCCCCCATCCTTGCTTGTGGGCCTGCAGAGCCCCTTCTTCCATTTGACAAGCCCCATCTGCCCCTCACTTCCCTCTTCAGCATGTGCAGAAACTGCCTTCTTGAGCATTGGATCCAATACTGGTCTTGTCCACTCAGTCTGCCACAGCCTGTCTATGCATGCAAGGGAAATCTCTAACTCACCAAAGGTTTGAGACCCATTGCTTACCCTCACCTGATTTAGCAGGCCAGGTGAAAGCTGACTGTAGGGTGGGGGGACCAATGGTGTACAAACTACCCCAGAAGGAGAAGAAGAAGAGTTTGGATTTGATATCCCGCTTTATCACTACCCAAAGGAGTCTCAAAGCGGCTAACATTCTCCTTTCCCTTCCTCCCCCACAACAAACACTCTGTGAGGTGAGTGGGGCTGAGAGACTTCAGAGAAGTGTGACTGGCCCAAGGTCACCCAGCAGCTGCATGTGGAGGAGCGGAGATGCGAACCCGGCTCCCCAGATTATGAGTCTACCGCACTTAACCACTACACCACACTGGCTCTCCACCACACTACACCACACTGGCACAACGTGTCCCCCAACAGAAGTACTACCTCTCCTTTAACACCCCATACACCCCAGTCATAAATATGATAAATAAATGAAGAGACATACTGCATTTAGATTTTTTTCATTGAATCCACTGACAAGAAAAAGAGCTTGTTTGCAAAGCTCATCTACCGGGCGACGGCTGCACTTTCGGGCCAGAAGGGCTTTCAGTTTTGGACTCAGCAGACAAAATTCCTTTGTGCCAAATATAGCCTGCAGAAAGCCAGAGATACTTCATAATCCCAATCTCTCAAAAGCATTTCTTAAATGGGGGAGTTTAAACGTCCCTGAAGCTGGTTCATATTAAGGGGTTTTTTGTTGCTGATTTGTAAAAAGGTTTTAATTGCCAAATATAAAAGTTATCACGTTACAAAACAAGGGGGAAAAGATGAATCTATTGAATTGATATAATTTAGAAGTTATTCTTTAAAAGGTAGAAATATTATACGTATCTTCCAAATGAAGAGTTTTAACTTCAGAAAGGTTGGGTGCAAGTTGATTTGACTGATTGGTTTAGTTTTCACTGTGTGGGTTGGCTCTCCTAATATATCCATGAAGCTCAAACCTTGCCATTGCTTGTCTTGCACATCTTGGTAAACTGCAGTGACACTAATGTTGTGACAGAAGCTCAATGGCACCAGATCACTCAGTAGACCAGACACTCCTGCCATTTCCACAACTCTATTAATTCTCCAGGCTTCCCCTTTTTATATCCTTATAAGGTGAGCCAAAACATCTTGTCTGGTCTTCTGTGTTATGATCCTTGGTCTTCTTAATTTGGACTCTATATATCCAGTCTCAAGAGGGTACTTTTTAAAAAATAGTTTATCCTTCGTGCTTTCTTTTCTGTCATTTGATAGCCATGATAACATTTTAGTGAAAAACAAATTGCACGTATGTCTGAAAATTTAAGGGTGTTGGAGTCTAAATTATTAATTAATCTCCCCCCCCAAAAAAAACACATGTTTTTCCAGCTAATTTACCTACAAAAAAACTGGGCTTGAGCCATAAAATTAGACATCTCCCATTATGTCATAATGTCAATTAGAGCTTACGAAAATTGTGAAAAGATAATGATTGCACACATACCTTCACCAGTTCTGCTGGAAAGCGTATGATTTGTAGTGGGACGCTGATAGTGTACTGCAATGTATAGGAAGGGGCCAGGGCAAAAAACGTCTTAATTTTTTCAGCCATTTGAGGTAAAATAGAAAATGCCACAAAAGCTAGAGAGGAGGGGGAAATGGACATTCAGTTTAGAATCCCGTAGCTTTGAATTTAAGTAATGCAGCATTTATAGGCAGACTCTTACTTTAAAACATAGTTGAGCAAAATTAACATTAATTTCATGTGGCACAATTCTTTTTCAAAATGGAAGAGTTAGACTACATGCAATATACAAAGCTATTTTATAGGATGGAAGTGGAACCTCACTAAATGACATAATTATCACCATTGCAACAAAATGACATAGGCTTTATATCAGATGAATAGATACCGTACACGTTTGAAGCCTACGTGCTTTGCGATGGGGCAGAGTTGGAAAGCCCTCTATCCTATATATCAATTTCATTTACTCTCAGATTCTCATTTTTCCAATCTTAAATTCAGTTCTCCTCATTTCTACATCAGTAGAAATATTTTTTAAGTCCGCATGGAAGGCTCTCTCAATGTAATCATGCCCCTGAAACCTCACACATCCCAATTATGTAGAAAATGTTCCCCACACATACACTTTCAGGCTCTATAAAAGGCTTGTGCAATAGATCAGGAACACACAATCTCACTCCCCCTTTCGTGCATTCAAATAAATATCCAAAGAGTACTATGTTTCTTATAAAGACAGCAAACCTATCACAGGTTCTTGGTTAACTAAAACTTCAGTAGATATCTGGTGCCATCTACATTAGATACCTGGTGCATTCAAAAAATGATGTGGTTTTTATGCATTTATCTGAATTCTTTATATGACCAAGAACTAGTTCAACATTGGACCATCCCATGCCAAACTGGCCCTCTATAGAGTGAATGCAAGGTTTATAGTTATCATACCAACAGAGCATCCTTGAGAATGGCAGACATAATAGATGTTCTTCTGTCCAGTTTTCTGCAGAATGAAGTCTACCATGGCAGGAAGGTCATAGATTCCCATCTCATGAAAACTGAAAACCACAAAACAAAGTAAATGAGAATTAAGTGCACTCAAAATCTTTGGTTACAAGCATAAGCTCTTTGTCTAGAAAGCACTACTAAGAATATTTAAGGAACAAAAGGGAAGATTAAGCAGAATTTACCATCAAATACCTAAAATTAAGTGACAAGATGAGGGGCAAGAGAAACTTACTAGGGCCAGCTGTGCCCAGGCTGCGATACAACAAATTAACACTAAAAGCATGAGCCCATTTACTAAGAAGAAGGTTTCTGTTTATAGAATCACAGCAAAGTCAGATGGTAAAACTTTTCCTGGACCATAAAATCAGACTGTCGATGAAGGGATTGCAGTGAAATCATTTCATGGATGTGTCTATAAATTTTATGGCCTGGATAAGAACTAAAAACCATTTAGCACACATATAGAATTACTTTAATGGCTGAATATAGCCCGACATTAGCCTTCATCAAGTCTATTCAATGCATAATAAAGTAGGCAAGGGTGAGCATGCTTGAACTACAAAATAACATTGAATGCCAAATTCCAGTCACTCAACTGCAAAAGAATAAATCTCATTGAATGGTGAATTCCAGTGATTACACACCAAATGAACTTACCTAAAATCCCAGAATGCTTCTTCTTCAATTGAAAGGTTTTGGTGTCTTCTAGACCAGGAGTTTCCTCTGTTGTTTCCAATCCAAACATCATATCCAGCATCTGCTAATATGAAGCCCAGGCTCTGATGCGGCAGATTTGTGACCCAGACGCTGCCTTCCATGGTCAAACAGTGCAGCAGCAGTATAGATGATTTGGAGCCTGGAAGTAAAAAAGACATTGATTGATTGATTGATTGATTGACTGACTGACTGACTGACTGATTAGTACCTCCAAAACACATCACAAGATACAAAATTAAAACTTAATCTAACACGGAGCAGTAGGCTTGGGTCTAAATGTTGGGTTTGGATGCAAGGAAGATAGGCTCCAGTTCTGGTTCAGTTGGGAAGCTAAAGTCTCAATATTACATGCAGAAACATTGGAACTGAACCTTGAAACCTAAACCCCCTTTCTTTCTATTTTTAAAAAAGAGCTAACCCAAAAATTCTCAGGAAAGAACATTTGATCTGTTTTTCCCCCCATTTGTCTGTCTTTCTTTCTTTCTTTCTTTCTTTCTTTCTTTCTTTCTTTCTTTCATTTTTGGAGCACCTAATAAACAGAGAATTTTAGTCCTTCTGGAAAAAAATCTTTGTTTCCCCAGTTTTGCTGCCCACAAATACCATGGAGAAATTATCTATATACCACTTCCTCCTGAAGCAGCTATCTATTTCTTTATAACTTTTATATGCCATCTTTTTTCTGAAGAGCTCTAGGCATTGTGGAAAGTCCCACCCCCCGCATTCGTCTTAGAATCACAACAATTCAATGATGTCGTTTAGGGTAAGAGAGACTGTCCAAGGTCACCTAGGAAGCTTCTTGGTCAGTTGGGGATTTGTACCTGGGCCTACCCAGACTTGGGCCAAAGCTCTAACCATTGCACCACACAAAGTTAATAGAGGCAGAGCAAATCAGTGTTCACTGAAGGAGGTATGCTGCACCATCAGGTATTCTAGCCATCAGGCTCTCTTCCTGCTCACAACTGTAGATAGAGCATTTGGGCTGGATTCAACTAACCCAGCGTGCTTGCATAAGCCAGCTCAAGGCATCCCATTAACATAATGGGGCTTTCCCCAACACTCTGTGCCTTCCCAAAATCATCTGTGGAGAACCTCGAGAAAAGCAGGGAGGGAGGGAGGGAGGGAGGGAGGGAGGGAGGGAGGGAAAATTGCTCTGTCTGGCAATTAGAAATGTTTACGTTGCTGAGAAGTTATGGAATAAGGACCTAAAATTTACTACTTGCTGTGAGCTAAAAGAGAATTTCATGAAAATGATGTATAGATGGTATTTGACTCCTACAAGACTTGCAAAAATGTATAAGAGCACGACTAACATATGTTGGAAGTGTAAAGTTAAAGAGGGCACATTCCATCATATGTGGTGGATGTGTAAAGTAGCTAAGAACTTCTGGGAAATGATTTATAGGGACCTGGAAAAAAGTTCAAAATAACTTTTAATAAAAAACCAGAGGGTTTTTTATTAGGTTTAGTAAGAGAAGAATTACCGAAAGATAAGGAAGTATTGTTTATGTATGCGTCAGCAGTGACAAGAATATTATACGCCCAGGGATGGAAAGAAGAAAGAGCCCCATTGAAAGAAGAATGGATATTGAACATGATGGATTATGCGGAGATGGCAAGGCTAACCAGGAAGATCAGGCACCAAGAGGATAACAAATTTAGTGGAGAATGGCACAATTTTATTGAATATATCAAAGAACACTGTAAAAGTTTTAAAATAGTAGTAGGATTCACATAACACTTGTAATTTAAAACAACAAAGGATAAAAATGAAGTATAACAAATTGGAATAAATTAATTAGATGCTGTTAAAAGAGGGAGAACTTCGGAAGCCAAGGGAGGAGTTCAGGGAACTCCATAAAGGTAAGGATTTGATTATGGGTTTTTTTTAAAGAAAAAAGTGTGTGTGTGTGTGTGTGTGTGTGTAAAAACCCTGTGTTTTATTTTTGAAACGTTGAAAATATTTTTTTAAAAAAAGAAAAGAAATGTTTTCACTGCTGGAAACATCAGAAGAGTACATTCCTCCCCATATTTTCTTTCCCAGACCAGACTTCATGTTAGTGGTCATTACTGTACAATGAAATGAGTCACAACAGAGTCCTTGAGACATTGGGTCTCGTGAGCTTTTCTGTACCTCCTGGGATCCTGTTCAGGCTCAAGTAATAGCCGTCTTCTGTAAGGACCTCATACTCTTCCGAAGGATATCCCCAGTACTGGATTATCTGACTCTGTAAGGATACAAGGCCACATGTTAGACCATTTCCTCCACCAGCAGAGGTTTAAAAGTAATTGCTAGAAGCCGAAAGTTTTCGCCTAAAGGCTCATTTCTAAGCATTAAGCATGGATCCTTCCTGACATGATCAGAATGACCCAGGAGAGCCGTGTACGAGAGTGAATATTTATATTTGTATCTCTTTGGATATTTGGGGAAGAATGAGCCAATACCTGCAAAGTTTATCAGCAACCCCTTGGGGGGAAAGGCAGCACAAAGAAAGGTGAAAACAAAAAAGATCCCTGGAAAGTACGGAGTGAAGACTACACAGAGGATGCAAAAACAAAAGCAACTTTAATACAGTTTATTTGAGGAGGAAACCATGCAACCGTTTGCTGCTTGTCAATAGAACAGAAACTAAAACCGCAGTACTTGAGAAATGACTTATGTAGATAGTTCGTGATACAGCAAGCCAAGAGGACCAATACACCACAGTAATATGCCAATATATGTTTTTCCACTCCTCAGGGGTGGTTCATTTTATATTAGTTTACAAAACAATGCAGATGCTTCTGTGCAAGACTGGCCAGTGGGATACGCTCCAGTTGTTGCTGGACTCCAACTCCCATCAGCCCCAGCCAGCATGGATAATGGGAGTTGTAGTCTAACATGATTTGGAGAGCACTACATTGACTCCCCCTGTTTGAGTGCTTTCTGGACCAATTCTTTCACACACAGGAGGATAGCTATGCCAAAGCCACATACCTAGTGCCAGAGCTACACACCCATTGCCAGCAGATAACATTAAACTTACAGAAGCTTTGCCAGCATCATGAAGTAATTACAACTGGGCTTCTTTTGCTGTGTTCAGACAAGCCTCAGGCTGCCACCCATCTTGGAACACAGCTTGAGCTCTGACATGTTCTCAGTGTTCAACTTTTCTAACTTGAAGACATGGCAAGTTTCCAATCTGAGGGACTAGTGTTCACGATGTGGACAAATTGTATTGCAAATTACGCTGACATGCTTTTATGAACAGAGCGTGTGCATAAGGAAGGGTTACCAGACGTCCCCAGTTCCCGGGGAGAGTCCCCAGATTTGCAGATCTGTCCGCAAACAAATTCCATCCCCAGAATGTCCCCAGATTTGCAAATCTGTCCCCGGGAAACCTCAGCAGCCCAGAGCCAGCCTGGTAGCGCAGTTGGCTCTGGCTGGCTTCAGGAGCTGCTTGCTGCTGCCACCACTGCCGAAAGGGAACCAGGGACGTCCAGCGGTGCACATCTCCTGCCCCTTCCCCCTTTGATTTGACAGATCCGGGGGAGGCTTGGGAGCCACAGGTAGGCGGGCGCTGCCCAGAAGGGGCACAAGGTGTATGGTTTCTCTGCCAGGTAAGGTGCAAAGCCCTTCTTTTGCACCCTGTGAAACATAAATGTGAAGAGGTTTTTTTAAAAAAACTGGGCAACAGCTGCCTGCCTGTGACTCCCAAGCCTCCCCCAATCAGTCAAAACAAAGGAGGAAGGGGGCAGGAGATTGGGGGAGACTCAGGAATCATGGGCGGGCAGCGCTCAGTTGCCCAGTTTTTTAAAAAAACTCTGCGCATTTATGTTTCACAGGGTGCAAAAGAAGGCTTTGCACCTTTATACAATATGCATGTGTGCTTGAGCCCAGGGTCTTTTGCCTCACCATCCCCGCTACTGACTCCCTGTTGCTACTCAGCTTTAAAAAAAATTAAAAAAATATTCATACAATATTCAACTTACTTACAATATTCATAAACTGTTCAGGATTCAAGTCTTCTGAGCTCACTGCTCCATGTACTGCCATCATGATAAGCAGTAGCCACATCCTTGAGAACCTTGAAAACAACTGGATATTTTAGATAATATAGGGGAAAGGTTTACTGAGCTTACTTATTTAAGAGAGTTTTTATATGGCTGAGTCTTCAAAACCTCAAAGCAGTTTACAAAGATATTATAAAATATCTATTAAAACACTGTTAAAATCAGATATTAAAAACAAGTTGACTTTTCAAAATTTCAAAAAATAAAAATGTAATAAAATAAAATTACATGTTACAATGCATGTCTGGGCAAAAAGGTAAAGGTACCCCTGCCCGTACGGGCCAGTCGTGACTGACTCTGGGGTTGCGTGCTCATCTCGCTTAAGAGGCCAGGAGCCAGCGCTGTCCGAAGACACTTCCGGGTCACGTGGCCAGCGTCACAAAGCTGCTCTGGCGAGCCAGCACCAGCGCAGTGCACGGAAACACCGTTTACCTTCCCGCTATAAAGCGGTACCTATTTATCTACTTGCACTTAGGGGTGCTTTCGAACTGCTAGGTGGGCAGGAGCTGGGACTGGATGACGTGAGCTCACCCCACCATCGGGATTCGAACCGCCGACCATACGATCGGCAAGTCCTAGGCACTGAGGTTTTACCCACAGCGCCACCCGCGTCCCCTGCATGTCTGGGTAGTGGTGCTTAAATAAAGGGGTGGTTTTTTTAACCGGCACTGAAAACAGCAAAGCAGATGTGCTTGCCTAATATCAAAGGGTATGTCATCATGCATCATCTCTCAAAGGGGCATTTCCAGCCCTATTTCAGAGCATGTGGCACCTAGATCCTGTTTAAAAAGAAAAATAAGTCAGAATGCTTCTTAATGCCAGAAGCATTTAGCACAGTCAGAGGCAGTGTGCTTCTGAATACCTAGGAAGGGGAGAGGATGGAAGAGGGTTTTCTATCTATTAAAAAAAAAATCACTTGTGCCATTTAAAACTGGAGAGAACAGAGTTAATACCAGTGATGTGTGTAACTTGCATGGACCATTTGTAGTATTGAAAGAATACCTGAGTGTAGAGCAAACCTAGTTGACTATGCCAACTTTACCTTGCAAACATGCATTGACTTTTGAAATCCTGAACATTTTGTTTTTGCGGCAGTTGTAAGATAAGCTGTGATAGTAGAAGTTTACATATGTTCAACATTCACAGGCAGAAAACACTTCTTTGCTGCTTCTAAATAATATGCCATTTTAGTATCAGTAGTTGTTTTTTTAACATAAAGTGTTTGGAGGGCTCCCCCCCCCCATACCCAATGAAAACGCTCATATATTGGGCCAGTTTGTGCAGTCAATAAAATCAAGAGCTATAATGTTTATTAGATCATACAAGTTTAGACTATGGATGCAGAGAAGGGGGTGAATAATTAAATGGGCCTCTCCAGTGCTTTTTTTCCTTAAAAAAAATTATGTTTACAGTAGGACTACTCTCACTTTCCTACTCAAATTGAAATATTGCCCCTCAATGAGGCCAAACTTAATTCACAAAATGTTTAGGGGCATGCGTACCCCTGTGTCCCTGCAGAAAAAAAGTAGTAGGTCTGCCTCTCTCTCTCTCACACACACACACACACACAAACACACACACAGATCTAGCCATGTAAAAAAGAAAATAAAACTTGTGTGGAAGCACGCTGACTGAATCCTTGCACCTGAAATACCAAGGAGTAAGTATTTGGCAAAAAGAAAGCCAGTATGAATGTCATCAAAAACTTTGCGAATCAGAATTATTATTGTTAAGAACATAATTGGCACTTTCTGTACTTTAATTTCCCTCTGACCCTGCTTTTATATAATCACATACAGAAAGCATGCATATATGTACCTGCAATAATAATAATTATTATTTATTATTTATTCCCAGCCACTCGGGACAACATTTCATGCATCTCATGAAGAAGATTTTTGTCCATGAAAGTCTATGTTTGTTAAGTCTTTAAGAGACTACAAGACTGTTTGTTGTTTAAATATGGACTCTGATAGTTTTAGATCTCAAAAGAAGTCTTGGAATTAGATTCCATACACCTAGCATTTTGAATAATCCAATGCAGAACTCACATGAATGATCCTTTCATTCCTTCCACTGTTCTCATTTCACACACACCTGCTGAAATAGAAGAGCAGGTGTTGAGTGTTTCTTCAGGTGAGTGTTTCTGATGAGTGCAAAAGGAAACCTGAAAGTTTCCTTCATAAACACCTCAAGTCATCCAGCCATGCTCATTTACTGGGCGCAGCATCTTTCTTTTTCATTATGTGTACAGCTTCTGGTGTGTGTGTTGTACCTAACAGTGGGATGATCTTATCAAATGTACCTGTTTAAGGTAGCAGACTATTGGCTGACACGCAACTCAGTCCACAGAGTTTTATCAGGCTTTCTCCCTAGAACCTAAGCATAGAATTGCAGCCTGGGAGTGTATTCACACATGATGTTTTCTCCGATTGTCCCACAAACATCCAGTGTACTCTGAAGTAGCAAGTTCTGCTTCAAGTCCCGGTGGTGTTTAATGTGTATATCATTAAATAACAATTCACATCTTCTGTAGTGCTCTTGTTCAGATGTGGGCCAGTGAGGGGAAATAAACTGAGCTTGAATCTGGAAAGATGAGGGCACTGTGAGCAAGACAGGAGTTCATGCATCTGAGAAATTGGCCAATTATTCTGAAGGAACAGCTACCTAGCCTGAGGGTGCTTCTGAGTGTAGCTTTATCACTGGAGATCCAGGTGATAGGATGACTAGGAAAGCTTTTCATTGATTTCAGCTTAGAGTCATTTGTGGACGGAGATAGCTTGGCCACAGAAGTTCAGGCACTAGTAACTTCATGACTGGATTACTGCAATGTACTCTGTGTGGGGCCTTCTACTTGATGCAGAAACGGCATGTAATGCAGAATGCTGCCAAACAAGAATGAGAATGAGTCCACGTGTTACACCCAGCTCAAAGATTTGCACTGGCTGCTGATGTATTTCCAGGTCAAATTCAAGGTTTAACATTAACAGCTGGGGAGCACAGTTTACAAGCACCATGTATGTTCATTCCATGGTTGCAAGGTTTCTGTTTGCCACCATTTATATTCTAGAACATCCTGTTCATTGATATTAGGCAAGCACCTTCGGCGTATTGTTTTCAGAGCAGAAACCATGCAAAAAAACCAAACCTTCCACTTGTGCGATGGGGATTTTGACCCTCTGCCCTCCTCCAAAATTGGCATGGGGGTGTGGGGGTTCAGGGAAGCCCAAGTACAGTACACAGGGGGAGAAGATAGGGGGTATTGTTCCCTCTGGCAAGCTGAAATGCTTGAGCAGTTGGAAAGTCCGCCATACCACAATGTTGAGTTCCATCCTCTTGGCTTAAGCAGACCTACCCAAACATGTAATTCTATTACAGTCTGCATGCATTTCATGCTGGGGTTCTGTTCCCGGGCCCCATACATGTCAGCACAGTGCATATAAGAATGTCCCATTCTGTACCGCACTGCCCCCTTTATCGTGACATTTCTGGTGGCATTTTCATTCCTTTCTGAGTTCGGCACTGTGCACACATGCACAAACGTGTGTCTTTCAGATGCATGTTAATTACTCATTGCCTTATGTATATTTGGCTTAAAAGTGATATAATTTATATGTTGCTAGATTTCATACCTGTTTCTTTTTGATGTTTTGTTTTACTTGTATTTTTAAAATAAGATTTCTATTTATTTATTTTTTAAACCCCTTGGAGCTTTTTGTAGATTAAGCAGTATATAAAAATGTGTCCCTGAAAGTTTTCTACAAGAAATATCAGCCTAGGTTTATGAAAATCAAATCTACAGATAAACAAATGAAGTCAAGATTTAGATGAACTTATATTTCCTTAATATTTGTATGCAAAAAAATTAAACTATGTCCAATCTATTGCCAAAAGCCATAGCATATGCAATAATGACTCAGTCTTTTATGCCTTTGCAACATTTCTATGCAAAGTATTAGCTCACATGAACACAGATGCTATTGTCCAAAGCCTTGAAACATATTGTTGAAAGAAGCTGCATTCCAAATGGTTTGCCCATATGTGTTTGGACCTTAAAGAGTCTTCTCCTTGTGCATGGACTTAGACCTTCTTAAAAATATGGGGGAGGTTGCTTCTAATTAACATAAAATAACAACTTTCTGGTTTTCCAATTAAACCTTAATAAAAAGTTGGACTTACCATGCAGCATACTATATATTGCTATGCAGGTTCAATTTGCAATAAATAAATTCCACAATGCAGCAGTATGCAAGACCCTGTAAAAAATCCACTCTAAATTCTTATAATGTAACTTATTTAAAACCTGAAAATTAAAACAATATGTCCTTGTTTCATAAAAAAGAAGTTGTGTACTCACCAATGAGCTCTACTTATAATTTTTTAAATAATACTTTGCCTGGTCTAATGTGTGTGTCACCTTGTGGGTATGCTCCCTAACCTTTCTTCAAATGGGCCATCCATTCACATGTAAGCTTACCAGCCTGTTATTTCATGGGGCAAGACAGTAAGTCTACCCATTGTTGGTGGACTGATTCTCAGAAGCTGATAACTGATATAGAAGTCAACTGTAAAGTGTACTCTAGCCCTCTAGTGCTGATGAATTTCAGGGCTAGCCAAACACATTTTGCTACCAGAAGCAAAAGACAAGATGGTCCCCTTTGTGTACAAAAGCCTTCAAACTGGCAACAGGCCAATATCCTCCACTACACATGAGGGCAGGAGGTGAGCTTGAGGGTGCAGGGTAGGCTGCATGAAACACACAGCTCTGTCCAGGGCCATAGCTAGGGGTGGTGAGGTGGGCCCCCACCAGGGGCGCAGGCGATGGGGGGCACAAAATCGGCTAAAAATATGTCCATAAATATAAATATTGATTATTGCCTCATAAGAAATGGTTTTTAATAGAGGGTGAATTGAATGGGTAGAAAGGGGTTAGAGGAGAGGTGGAAAGAAGAGCTAATCTGTCCATGGCTAGGGGGCGCAATCTGGACGGTTCTGCCAGGGGTGCAAGATCACCTAGCTACGGCTCTGGCTCTGTCCTCCAATGCTACCCCACTGCTTCCTGCATCCCAACATCTCCCACCTTGTGAGCAGATTTGTGCTCAGTTTTGAGATCATGAATGAGCATGCACAGCATGACAATAAACAGCCACCCACCATGAATACCAATGGCATGTAACTAATGATAACAATAATATAAGAATTAATAATACAGGCGGTGACAGGGATAGCCTAACTTCTGTGGCTTAGGCTCTGGTAACCTCTTGGTTGGATTACTGCAATGTGTTATACGTGGGGCTGCCTTTGAAGGCAATTCAGAAACTTCAGCTGGTGCAAAATGCAATGGCCAGATGCTCACCAGAACAAGACGGTTTGAGCATATACCACCAATACTGGCACAACTGCAGTGGCTGCTGATTCAAGTCCCAGTTCAAAGTGCTGATCATGACAGTGGCCAATGCCTGGCCGAACAGCAATGAATTCCCCCATAACTTGGGCCCTGGTTGACCCGTTGGAACTCAGTTCACTGGCCAGGCAGGCACACCTCCACAGCTGTGATGGCTGGGGGGGGGATTCCACAGTGACCATGTGGGTCTGGCTGCTGGGAAGGAGGTGGAATGTGATGGTCTGCAACTGATGCCCACTGGGGAAACGGTGAGCGTCCATTATGAAACACAACATTTAGATTTATAGATGTATAGCTTGTTCTCCTGCTTCCAACTCACAAAAACTTTTAGAGGAAATGGAAAACTACTTTTAAAAATTTATTTAATCATTTTTTCATACAAACATCAACCGCAAAAGACACATACAGCAAAAACCATAATGACAACACAATTTAACCATTCAGATTTGAATACACTGATATACCTATGACTACACATTTTTAAACAATATTTTCCCACCTCTCTCTATCCTCCCCCTACTTCCCACCACTATTCGCCTTATCGCTTACATATTCATTCCAGATTTCTTCATATTTTTAATTTTATTTCATATTCTTATTTTGCATCAACATGCAATTTGTTCGTATGTAGCTAATCTGTCCATATTATCAATCCGTGTGCTCAATTGAATCTTTTTGCAGCTCTTCCAATTCATCAAAACAAGTTTTTTTGCTTCTAATATAGCACGGTACATCCTAAATTTTTTGACCCCTTGAAATCTCCCACATTTCCAGAATATAATTTAGAATTAGATTCAGTTCCCCTAAATAAGAATTTCTTTTTATTACTCTTGCTATAAATATCCTCACCTCGCACCAAAATGATCTTATCATCGGGCAGTTAATCAACATATGTACTAAGTTCTCATTTTTACTCCCACATCTCCAGCAGTTGTCTGCACTTGTTTGGTTTTTGTTTTTGTTTCTGTTTTTTTGTTTTGGTATAGTTTTACTGGAGTCCAGTGGGCTCTGAATATTATTTTCTGTTGAATAAGTCTTAGCCTTAGATCCATAGAGGCTATTTCTGTTGATTTTATACTTGACTCCCATATAGCATTTGTTATCTGTACCCCTAACTCTTCACTCCATTTTTGTCTATCAAATTCTAAATCATATTTCTTCCTGTTGAGTAGGATTTTATATAGTGCAAGTGTAGAGTTTTTTGTTTTTGTTGCAGAGATTAAATCTTGTAGCAGCATGGGTGTTTCTAATGCTGCTATAGTGTCAGTGGAAGACCACAGTTTTAAAGAAAAGTCATTGCATAATAAAAGAGAAATCCCACAGCTATTTCTGCATCAGATCAAGGATTTCCATGTACATCTGCTGATGAGCATCAATGCCCCAAATGAAGTCCCAGTGGTCCCAGTCTGGATACTCCTTATGGTAAACAAGGTGAGGGATTCGAGACCGCAGCTGCGCAGCTTCCTTTGGCCTGCAAACCCAGTCTTGTCCTCCGCTCCACATAGCAATTGGGACTGTGATCTCTTCTATCTTGTAGAAGGGTGGAGTCATCTGTGAAAAGAAGAAAAAATGAGAATAAACTACAGATGCCACTGAAGATGTAATCTAAAACAATTTTAGAATCTCTAAACTCTGATTCAAGGGATTCCCAGCCGTGCCCTCCCAGCAAAGCTCAAGAGCCTTGTGGAAGTATTACTATACCAGTCAAAAAATTGGTCGAAAAATTTCAGAGGTGGAAGTTGCAAATGGAGATAATTAGAACAAGTGTATAATGTAGGACACTGGAACCTGGGGCGGAGGGTGGGGGATACGGTGGGGGAGGTCTGACCCAGGTGTCACCACTGAAGGGGGTGACACAATGCCAGGCGGCACTCACCACGGAGCCTGCAATGCGCCCGAGCCAAGCATCTCTCCTGGGAGTGACATGGTGGCTTGGGCGCCCGCAGGCTCCACACTGCCCCAAACGGTCCACCCGCCGCCTCCCTCTCAGCTGTAGGGCAGCTGAGTGGGAGGAGGCAGGCAGACTCCTCGGAGGCCCTGTGGAGTGTCCTGCCCCGGATCGCCCTGCTACTGGGCGCACGGCACGCATGCCACCCCAGGCGCCTGATCGGCTTGCTCCGCCACTGCTGGAACCAGACCTTTCCTAGTCATCCTTATCCAATCCAAGCAAAAATATACATACCTGTTTGTATTTATCTATGTTTTTTGGGCCATAATCGAAGTATTTGAACTCCCCAGTTCTACCAGACTAGAAAATGAAACATAACACCAAAGCTGTGTGAGCCTGTGTGCTTCTGCCAAGACATCAAAGCAGAGATTATCAGGAGAGGAAACAATTTAAGAAGAGTATTTCACAATTATTGCTCTATATCAGAGGTAAGGAACCTCAGGCTCAGGACTCAAATGCAGCTTCCTTGTATTTAAACAAAAATCATTATGTTGCACTGATAAGTAAAAGAGCTTGTTTGCAGATAACATCAACCGGTTGGCAGCTGCACTTTTGAGCCAAAAGTTCTTTGAGTTTGGGACTCAGCAGGCAGAATTCTTTCGTGCCAAATATAATCTGTAAAAATCCAGAGATTCTTTACATGGTGAACCAGTATATTTCCTAATACAGCAACAGATGTGTTCTGATCCGTACAAGAATATTGTTCATATTATAATTTTAACCAGGATTACAGATTTTGCTGTCCTGACTTGATCAAATGCATTACTTACATAATTACTAATTTTATTTACTTAATTCCTGGATTGCAGGGGTTGGGTTGGTGACACTCAGGGTCCCTTCTATCTCTATGATTCTGCTATATTTATAGGCCAGCTTTCAGTTGTGAAGGCTTCCAAAGCAACTCACAACAAATAACCCATGCTTTGATGATGACTGAACTCATTCTATGTATTCTCCTGCATGTGGATGGGTAAGAAAGTGAAATCTGAGCTAGCTCCCTCTTCTGGCAGGTTCAGTGTGGACAATGAAGGGTTTAGAGCTAGGCTACACGGCCCGAGGCATCTTAATGCTGAAGAGTTATTTAGCCAATCACCCTCTCACAGCCAGTTGGCTCAAAGGAATGTGGGAGGGGAACTACTCTTGGGCCCTGCTGGCAACATCACATCTAAGCTAGGATGAGATGAGGCAGTCAGATATGTCATTGGCATACTTTAAGATAAGCAGGTAAGAACGAGATATCAGCCAATTGACTGATAAGGTCCTTGGAGTCAGGATGGAAGGCAGTTGCCCATGTTCAACATTGGAACAGTCTCCCTCAGGAGGTTGTGTACTTTCCTGCATTGCAGTGGGTTGGACTAGATGACCACTGAAAGTCCCTTCCAACTCTATGATTGTATGATGCTATGTAAGCTAGACAGTGGGAGATGTGTCCTCTTAGCTCTTTTAGTCACAAAACTACTCACATTGAAAACAACAAACAGGAATACCAGGTTCCACCCAACACTGATAGTGCCCAGCACACGCGCATGATGTCACACATTGCCCCCGCCGTGGGAGGGCATGACAGAGCGACCCACCGCAGCATGCAGCACATTGGGTTGCCTGGCAGGGCACCCACAGAGAACATTTTGTGGGTGCCTTGGCACCCGATGCTCCAGGGATGGCATCTATGACAAAAAGTAAATGAATTGGTTTTATTTCCCACCACAAAAGCTAGCCTTGCTTGTTTATTTCTATTTTCCTATAAAACTTGGATAAGAACGTAACATGTGACATTACTGATCTTGTAAACCCTACATGATAATAAGAAAATGACCCTTTTACACATACCTTGAACAATGTGTTAGGCATACGCAGCACTCGTATAATGGGACTTATACTGAAGTGGAGCGTGTAGGCAGGCCCCATGGCAAAAAACATCTTTATTTTTTCAGACATTTGAGGGATTACAGAAAATGCAACAAAAGCTGGGAGGAAAAGATGAGAAATTCCATTTAGCATTCTTTTAATGGGGAGGGGAGGGTGTGCAAAGCAAATCAGTATTTACAGCCAAAAACTTGTAACCAAATCAGTAATTTAAATTGTCAACCTGTGTGTATATAGAATTAGATTGGGCAGTTTTCTAGAATCTAGAAGCCTAGTACTGTTGATTGGAGTGTACCTACCTGTTATGCAGATGAAAGGAAAGAAGGTAAATGGCAAAACTGGAAACATTGCTAAGGCCCTGCAGTCTGTACAAACCACCTTTATGGCTGGACCTCTTCACAGAAAGTCATTTTGAGTCTCAGAGTACAAGTAGGTAAAACAATGCAATAGGTGTGTGTTGTGCAACAGCGAATGTGATGACAGGGCCGATATTTGCATTCTCCAAGCAGCCAGGAGGAAGTTCAGCACTCAGCCTTTTCAGCTAATCTGATTCTTGGATAAAACACTCCTGACATGTGTTTCCCTGCATTTCTACTGCCCCTGAGTTTGGGGGGGGGGGGAGCAAAGAATACAGTCACAGACTACACATGTCTTTTTCACAGCTAAATGCCAACCTTTATGCTTCACATACCTACGGTGGATCCCTGAGCATGGCCACCACAGTAGATTTTATCCCGTCCGGTTTTCTGCAGAATAAAGTCTGTCATGGCAGGAAGGTCATAGATGCCCATTTCATGAAAACTGCAAATCAGGAGACATCCATAATAATTAAATGTGTGTGCTATGCTCTGCTCACATGCACTGGCTACTTTAGCGAAGAGAAGGTAAGAAGATTAAATGATCTTCCGATAAATATGTAGAAAGAGAATATTTTCCAGGAACATTTGGTTTCAGGCTGAATGAAAACAGTTTATGGTTACAATCCTGAAGTAAGTCTGCCAGAAGGTAAGTATCCATTTATACCATCACTGACCACATCACATGTCTAGTGACATAATTAGCAGTGTGAGAGTTTTCAGAGGGGCATTCCCTCCAAAAGATGTCAAGCTCTTTTGCTCAGCCGAATTCTGAATCAAGTCAAGAGTAGTTCATCCATCACTGCTTCTGAGTAAATATGCTTAAAAGGTAAAGGTAAAGGTACCCCTGCCCGTACGGGCCAGTCTTGCCAGACTCTAGGGTTGTGCGCTCATCTCACTCTATAGGCCGGGAGCCAGCGCTGTCCGCAGACACTTCCGGGTCACGTGGCCAGCGTGACAAGCTGCATCTGGCGAGCCAGCGCAGCACATGGAACGCCGTTTACCTTCCCGCTGGTAAGTGGTCCCTATTTATCTACTTGCACCCGGGGGTGCTTTCGAACTGCTAGGTTGGCAGGCGCTGGGACCGAACGACGGGAGCGCACCCCACTGCGGGGATTCGAACCGCCGACCATGCGATCGGCAAGTCCTAGGCACTGAGGTTTTACCCACAGCGCCACCAGGAGTCTTTCTTCAATTTCACCTGTGGGAGATGCAACTTGGATTGAGTGCCATGATGGAGCTGGGGTTCTTCTGACCTTTGACCCAATATTCATTAACCCACCCTCAAAACTGTGACCAAAACTGTGCGCATAATTTTCCAGGGAAGGGCCAAGAAATCAAGCACCTGAAATGTCCCAGGATCAATCCTGCCACCCTCAATTATTTCTGGGATACTTTCTCTAAAATTCTGGAGATGTATTTCCAGTCAGTGTAGATGCACTGAGCTGAGTTTTCTTTCATTTCCAGAGTGTGTTCAATGCTGGAATTTTACCTATGTCCTTGTGAACTATTGAAAAACATTTTGCACATACCAGTATATAAAATTATTAAACTTTATCTCATATTGATTACACTTACAAACCATCAAGTATACCTTGTTGAGTTATTTCACGCAGGGGAGATCTTCAAAGGGAGAAAAATGCAACAGTCCACTGAGTGTTGAATTCCAGTCTTTTCTGAACTTACCTGAAATCCCAAAATGCTTCTTCTTCAATGGTAAGGTTTTGGTGTCTTCTCGACCAAGAGTTTCCTCTGTTGTTTCCAATCCAGACATCGTATCCGGCATCTGCTAGTATGAAACCCAGGCTCTGATGAGGCGGATTTGCTATCCAGTCACTGCCTTCCAAGTCCAAACCATGAATCAGCAATATAGTGGCCTTTAAGCCTGGAAAATGAAAAAGCTTCAGAATGCTCATAATGCTCATGCTAAGAGTGCAGCGTACAGTGGCTAAAATGTTTTGTATGGAAATGAGGAGCCTAGTTTCAAAGAGTGCTAGGTTTTCTTTTCATGGAATGGAAGACAACTGGCACTGTGTATGACAGCGAGGGGGGGTATACGTGCATTATCCACCCTAAAATTATTGGATCCAAATCAGAGTGCCCTCAGCAGCTTTCCCCCATCTCATAAATAGTTTTAGCAGCTTTACAGAAGAGGAAATTACAGCAGATGTAGTTTTAGTCACATCTGCATTACATGGTTGTTTCATTTGGCATTGCGCATCAAACACAATGCATAGTCTCATGACCTTTATCAGCATTCTAGCCAATCGCTCACAGGAAGGCATCCTAACTGGTTGTCTGTCAGTCTGTCCTGCACTGTTGGTCCTCCGGGCTGCCTGTTTAAGACAGTACCAAGTGCACTGTCAGGAGGGATCCAGAGGGAACCAGCAACTAATCACAAGGAGTGATGTTAACGCTTTATTAGAAGAAACAGGATCAGCTCAGGAGTGCCAGGTCTAATAAGCACAGCAACTCTTTTCGGTAGGCCTTGTCCTGATGAGGCAGTTGTAGAGACTGAAGGTCTGTCCCAGTAACAGTGTTGTTGCACTGTACATTGGTGGTGCTTTTTCCTTATTGGCCCAAACTGTGCTCTTTTAGAAGAAAAGAAGAAGGCTATTGTGCAAAGAGGCAGCCTCTATTTCCTCTATTACAATCGACTTTCATCCTCAAGTTTACCTCCTGGAATTCTGTTCAGGCTCAGGAAGTAGCCATCCTTTGTAATAACTTCATATTCTTCAGAAGGATATCCCCAGTACCGGATTTTTTCACTCTGCAGGGATTAGAAAAACCCTAACGTTGGTGTGACGAAATGAATTTTGTCCTGACTTTACTATGAGTCGAGTTTGGTCTGTTGAATTGTTCATGGGAACAAATACGGTGGAACTTTGGTTCTCAAACTTAAACTGTTCCAGAAGTTCATTTGACTCCCAAAACCATTCAAAAAACAATGTACAGTTTCCGATTGGCTGCAAGAGCTTCCTGCACTCGGACGTTCGGCTTCTGAAAAACGTTCGAAAATCGGAGCACTTATTTCCAGGTTTTTGGTGTTCGGGGGCCAATTTGTTCACCAACTAAGCCGTTCAAGAACCAAGGTCCCACTGTGTATATTTTTCCACTCTTTGTATTCACGTATTGGGGGGGGGCATGAGAAGGCATCTTCCAAGTGAATGAAGACCAGCAAATGAGGAGCAGCAAACAGAGAGTCATAGCTCAAAAAATAAAGATCTTCTTTTAATATGAGGTACAGTGTACCGGATTTTTTTGCTCTATAAGGCTCCTAAAAAGTAAGGGGAAATGTGTGTCACAGCTATCCCAGAAGCCAGAACAGCAAGAGGGATTGCTGCTTTCACTGCGCAGCGATCCCTCTTGCTGTTCTGGCTTCTGAGATTCAGAATATTTTTTTTCTTGTTTTCCTCCTCCAAAAACTAGGTGCGTCTTGTGGTCTGGTGCTTCTTATAGAGTGAAATTGCTCTGAAACATTTTAAAGTATAGAGCAATATATATCTAATGAAACAAATCATGTGCTTCCAGAGGGGTTGTCATGTCAGAAGGGGCTAGCAGGGGTACTTGGATAAACATGTTTCGAAGCTTCTTCACAAAAGTGATCCCTGATAACACAGAGTGCCAAATAGCGAGGAAGCTGGTAAGCCAGTTGTAAGTAAGTTTCACTCAGACCTGCTCAACACAGGGAAGCCAGAAGTGGAGGGCTGCAGCACCATCTTCAAGCACACATTTTGCACTTGCATGCTCAGGCTAAACACTTGAAGAGGCCTTCTGTCATAGCATATTCTGAAATCTATTTGTATGTAGAAAGTCTTTGGGAGGACTCAGCCATTTCTAAGAAACAAAGAGCTATGAGAATGATTGCATAAGCACTGTTTGTTAGAGTTGCGGAAAGTGGAATCCCTGATATGGACCTTGTGCAGAGTATAAATGAATTTGCTTTGCGTGTCGAGGTCCCCAAGCCACCCCCCAAATAACTCACAACGCACACTTAATTTTTGTTTAAGGTTTTTGGCATAATTTTGGCCACAACTTTATTTAAATACAAAACCGTGAGTGGTTGTTTAGGCATTGGTTAAGACTATCTGTCCCCCCGCCTGGGGACAGAACTGACTTCCGGGCACCACCGAAAGACAGTGCGGGGGAAAGCAAGTCGGGGAGAAATGGAGCTGAGTCACAGACCCTCACCTCTCACCCGCCTGCTCCCCGAAGGCTTGCCGGCCCTAGTCCCATTCCAGGGATTGGACAAAAAGATGGCAAGCCCCAGGATTCCTTTAACGGAATTTCCGCAGCAACCATGGAGGGGCAGGCCCAGCCTATCCTAACCCCTCCTCCACCAATTTATAACCAATGCCTAACCGCAACCTTACAAGTTGTGACGATTTGCTACGCAGTAGGCAAAAACCAAATGGCCCAGCCAATCTGCCAGATGGACAAAATTCCTACCAGGCCCCTGCCCCAACGGCAGACGACCCCATGACAGGCATAGCAAGGTCAATGCAACAACCCCTTACTCAAGGGCGGGTGGGCGGGTGATCCGTTGCACACAGCAAAGAGAAATCTCCAGGCTGTGTGCAGAGTATTTAAACATTTTACCCCTCCCACCAAAATTGCAACATAACTTTTACCCCAGCAACCCAGTGAACCAATCACTGCCCCAGGCCATCTTTAGAGACCCTGCCTGGTAACAGAGGGGTGGCTCAGCAGACCCCACCGCAACACGTGCTCTCCATGAAGGAGAACATGCTTTCCAACACAAAAAAATGAGTTCCAAAGCTTTACTGGAAACAATCTTGAAATAGTTCCAAATAAACATTACAAAATGCAAAGCCGCACATTGCTGTTAAACCAGCAATCAATGTGGTTCTGCCTTCTTTTGGGTCTTTAATACAGTTCAATAAACTTTCCTGTCTCTGGTCCCATAGATAGATGCTAAGCAATTTGCATGTTCATCAGCATGGACACTGAGTTCTCAAGTTTGACCTTCCTCCTATGAAAGATCACTTGGTTTTCAGAATGAGTCATCAGTTAGCCTAAACACTCTCCTAGCCACATTTACCTAGAGACAAACCTCTCTTGCCTCTCTAATTTGAAGAGAGAGAAAACTTATGTAAAAGTTTTCATTTGCAGACTTCAGTGTGTATAAACTTTATATTTTATGCATATTGGACATTGCTGACAGTTCTTCAGTACTCCTGAACAAAAATAACATGGCCCAAGTTTCCCTGTTTGGTCAGGGAAGGCAGCAGAATAGCTTCACCATGAACTGGGCCCTTCAGATCCTATTAAATCAAAATATGTGAATTTTCCCCAATGAGAGAGAGAGAAAGAATCAGTTTAAGTGGGGGCTCACATAGTCAGGCACTTATGTAGATGGCCCAGTTCACTGTGACAGCCACCTGCAGGGTAGGAAGATTTGCTCCCGCTTTCCACCACTGCATCCCTACCAAACGTGTGAACCAGGGCAAACCATCACTAACACTGCTATAGTGCTGCTTTGTCTCAAGAGCTTAACTTACAATATTCATATATACTTCAGGATTCACTTCTGTTTTGCTTTTGGATTCTACTGGATTCACAGTGCCTTGTACAACCATCATGATAACCAGCAGCCACATCCTGGAACACCTGAAAAACGGAATATTTTAGAGAAAACTTTTTTCTTTTAGTGATGAAATGGATCTACTTTTTAGTTGAAAAGCTGCTGAACACGAGCCAGTCGTGTGACATGGCAGTCTTGAGCTTCATTCACAGATGCAGCTTGCTCAGATCACAAGCCCCTAGAGCTCTACTCTCTTCTGCTCAGGGAGCATGCATTTCTTTTTGAATTTTAATTGCCCCCATGGAAACTGTAATGGTTCTAGGGGTTGCTCGTGCGTAAGCCTGTGCCAACACCTGGCTGGGTTGCCTGAGTGAACCTTTCCTGTCCGGACAGCCGCTCACCCGTGGCTGCCTCAATCGCTGGCAGAATCCGTCAGTGGGCGTTTCTTAAACTTCTTCCAGCAAAGAAGTTCTTTGACGCCCAGTCTCCTCCTACTCTCCCTGCGTGGAAGCCTTCTGCGCAAGGAAGGCATAGGCAGCGGAGGACCCTTCCTCTCCCCACTGGTCCCCGGCAAGGAGTCATGTGACCGCCTCTCTGATTCCCCCATCTGCCCCCCTTCTCCACTGGAGCTAAGCTGATTCCCTTCCCCAGAAGATGGGCTGCCTCTCCCAATCCCGGGACGCTCTCTGGGATCCCTCTGGAGCTTGCTCTCTCCCTCCGGCACTGATGACAGTTCCCTGACAGAAACTTCCACATTTCCTGTTTTCCCAACATAGTTTCCTGAAAGTGAAGGAATTTTTAAAAAATCATTTTGGGATGATCTAATTGAGAGTGAAGATGCAGTGATGGAAACGCCGTTTACCTTCTCGCTGGAGCGGTACCTATTTATCTACTTGCACTTTGATGTTCTTTCAAACTGCTAGGTTGGCGGGAGCTGGGACTGAACAATGGGAGCTCACCCTGTTGCGGGGATTCGAACCGCCGACCTTCCAATCGGCATGCCCTTTATAAATTTACCAATCTATAAAGAAAGGGTTTCAGTCCATGAATGCTTATGCTTACGCATGTTAGAATTAAGGTTCAGCAGGTGACTGACATTTCCACTGGATTCAAAATAACAGTAATGCCCTTTATTCCAAGTAACTGAAGAATGAAAACTTTGCAGAAAAGCAGAGAAATGGGAACTGCCTAAACTCACATTTTTCAGAGAAGTGAATATTAAGGTGCATTCTGCTTTGTTAGAGAAGGGAATTTTCTTCATGGCTTAACACATTATTGGTAATAATCACATGTAACACAACTATTGCCCAAATCTTCATTTACAAAGCCATATTTATTTTTCCCCATTATCTTTATTTCTGTTTTACATGACAGAAAGGGTTTGTGTTTTAAACCAGGCAATAGCTGCCCCCTACAAATCCTGGAGACAGACAGTCATGCCATGTGTCCACAGCAGTGACCAGATAAAGAAATGACCATTAGAGAAGCACAGAGAGAAGAAAAACCACAGTGCAACAGAATCGGACGCCTTCATCTACCTTACCTGTGAGAAAACATGTCTCTCCTGTATCTGTCTCTACAGCACAGCAGGTGCTTTAACTCTCCAGCAGTTTGATTTCACTCCTGAAAGTGCGCTCTTAAATTGTCTCCCAAGACAGACGGATGCCAAAAACAAATCCAAATCCAAGTACAAATACAAATTATTAAATGCATATACTGACTATTTGGGCTCTGGAGAGCTACAAGAGGAGCAGAAACCTAAAAATCTCCAATGCCTTAAATAAATTCATTGTCCCAAAAGACAAAATGAGGACCGAAAAAGGCCAATCAACTCTCCATGCACAGATGTAAAGAAATACTCACATCTAAAGTTCATATAAATAGTTTCCCACGATGTTAATTTGCTTTAATTATTTTGACATATTCTCATAAAAAAGTCAGGTATAACCAGTTTAATACATAATGCTTGTTTCATCATTCCAGTGCCATGGCTTTCACAACCTGCTATGATAGGATTAATCTAAATTATTCTTCCATTTCACTAATGTATCCAACCAAACCACCTCATCTTTGCAAGGAATTCTGCCTTTGAAGAGGCGTTTCTTTTCCCCTTCCCTTGCATCCCTGGGCCCCTCTGAAATTTGCTCTGGAAAGTTGGGTGGAGTTCAAGACAGATTTGGGGGAACATGGTGGGTGGGAGGAACTAAAGGAAGAGGAAACTCCATTGCACAAGGAGAAGTCTTTGTGTGAACAGGACAACTTTGTTGGCTAAATCCTTTAATTCAAAAGGGTTGTTTTTTATGTATGTATTTATTTATTTATTTAAACAAAATTTCTATTGCTTTATTGTACAGTGGTACCTCGGTTTAAGAACTTAATTCGTTCTGGAGGTCCGTTCTTAACCTGAAACTGTTCTTAACCTGAAGCACCACTTTAGCTAATGGGGCCTCCCGCTGCTGCCGTCGCGCCACCACCACACAATTTCTGTTCTCTTCCTGAAGCAAAGTTCTTAACCCAAGGTACAGTGGTACCTCAGGTTAAGTACTTAATTCATTCCAGAGGTCTGTACTTAACCTGAAACTGTTCTTAATCTGAAGCACCACTTTAGCTAATGGGGCCTCCTGCTGCCGCCGCACCGTCGGAGCATGATTTCTGTTCTCATCTTGAAGCAAAGTTCTTAACCTGAAGCACTATTTCTGGGTTAGCGGAGTGTGTAAACTGAAGCGTATGTAACTCGAGGTACCACTGTATATAGAATGTGTGAGTGAACTGCCCTGAGATCTTGTGATGAAGGGATGGTATATAAATCTAATAAATAATAGTAATAATTTACCCAAAAAAACACGAAACTAACATTAAAATGAGCAATAAAATACATTAAAAACTGGAAATAAAGAATTCAAAAAAATCATTCTACTCTAAGCTAAAAACATATAGTAGAGAAAGTTGTCTATGTGGTAAGAATTCACTTCTGCAACACCACAGAACCAAGGAAACTATGTTCAAGTTCAGCATCCAAATTTAGGGGCCCAGCATTTATTATAGCTATTTCAGCTGTCCCATGTTACCATGGCAACCTCGCCTTCAGTGAGGAAAGAGCATCATAAAACCTTCTTCCTGGGTCTCAGATAGCTTCAAGGATTGCTGATTTACACTCTGCTGCAGAGACTGTCTGCAGGCAATGACCGCTCCCCACATTAAATGGGGGGGTGCCCTTTGCGTGGTCGCACCCAGCCCCTGGGCCCTATGCGGCACCATTAGCACAGGCTTGGCTTCGCCTTCCTCCAGGTGGTGGTATACTTGGAGGTCTCCGCCTACCTCAGTCACTTGCCCAATCCCACCTGGGGAAGTGTTAATAGGTGACCAGGCCAGGTAGGGGGAGGGACTACCTGCCCACACAATAGAGGGAGGATCTTACCTGGGACTCGTCAGTTGGATCCAGAGCTTCTCCCACCCTACCCACCCTCAGTTAAGACTTGTTTTGCAGGTTAACCTTTTCTCCACAGGTATTCGGGCGTTGCTACGTCAAGGTCGCTGTTGAAAGGCCGGAAAAGAATTCCCCTGCATGACCCACGCCCTCCTCCTCTTTGCCGTGGCGATACCAGGGTTCCCCATTAAAGGGGTTGTTTGAGGGGAGGCTTTGGCTGTATGCCTAGAGGTTCTCATTGCTCTCCCCTGGAACGGAGGCGGGATCTCTCTGCTTGAACATATGTTCTGCAGAGCCAGCCCACTCCCCCCCACACACACTGGATAACCCTGATGTTCCCCAGATCCCCAGATGTCCTCTCATAATTGAAGTTCAGCTTATCTTTCCCTCATCCATCCCACCATTGCATCGAGGCACTAGTCCGGAACCTGATTTGCATCTTCAGATCCTCACCTAAGCCTCTCTAAAATCCTGATGCCCACCCCCCCAAACATATAATTTTTATTTTTCAAAAAGTAAACTCCTATTCACGTGGAGGAAGCGTAAAAGGCCATTAACTTGGTTTAACTCATTCTCAAATTGCCCCCCTTAAAGATCAAATAGCCCCCCTGTGGGGCATGTGCCCCACATTGGGAACCACAGCCCTAGACTCAGGAGCCAGCTTTATTCACTCAGACAGCAATCAAAGAATACCACATACACGAACTAGCAATAAACCTTCTAAACCAGTAGGCAGGCCGGCAGGTTTGAAGGCATGAATGAACCATGCAAGATTCACAGGCAGTTGCAGGAAGAACACATATTCTTGCTAGCAAAACCAGTCCCTCCTGCTCTCCTTATTACCTGCCAACAAAATAATGTCTGAATAAAAGAACAAAAAGAAGCACATGCTCCAATGAGGAGGCTTCTAGACTGCTGCTATTCTGTGGATGGGATTTAATTATATACTGGCAAAGTATTAAACATGGCCTGTATTGGGTCTGAACGTGTCACATTTCTGTAAATAATTTTACTTCAATTATTATTATTTAATAGGTAGTTAACAGCCAATTCAACACTACCTGCTGCTTTGAACTGCAGGGCCCAAGGATGGCCCTTGAGAGTGGTTTGGTGCAGGGATAACCAAAGAAGAATGACAAAAACACCAGAGCAATCAATTCTAATGCTTTATTGTAAGACGGAAGCACAAACTCGTAACACAGCCTGTAGAGCCTCGCCGCCTTTACAGACACAGGGCGAACAGCAGCAGCGAGAGGCCCTCACGACTTGTCCATGAAGTACTAACAGTGCTATAATAATAATGATAATAATAATTTATTATTTATACCCCGTCCATCTGGTTGAGTTTCCCCAGCCACTCTGGGCGGCTCCCAATCAGTGTTAAAAACAGTACAGCGTTACATATTAAAAACTTCCCTGAACTTGGCTGTCTTCTGAATGTCAGGTAATTATTTATCTCTTTGACATCTGATGGGAGGGCGTTCCACAGGGCGGGCGCCACTACCGAGAAGGCCCTCTGTCTGGTTCCCTGTAGCCTCACTTCTCGCAATGAAGTGAAGGCCCTCCGCCAGAACCGGTGTTATGTGGTCCCGGCGGCCACTCCCAGTCACCAGTCTAGCTGCCGCATTCTGGATTAATTGCAGTTTCCGGGTCACCTTCAAAGGTAGCCCCACGTAGAGCGCGTTGCAGTAGTCAAAGCATGAGGTAACTAGAGCATGCACCACTCTGGCGAAAC